CAGATCTGCCCGTTCATCCAGGATTAAATCCTGGATGAAAGTTGTTTTACCATTGACAGATCTGGCGTTCAACAGCACCAAGATTTCATGGATGAAGGCTGGGACACGTGGCCAAGCCACATCAGAATGTGGTCAAGATTTCCCCATAGTATTTGGAGGACCTTCTTTTCTAGACTAGAGGAGCTTTGAGCAGCTGTGGCTTTGCAGATGGTTTTAGACAGCAAATCCCACATCACTAGCTAGAACTGATGGAAGATTTTAATCCACAACATCTGGAGGTGGCTAGTCATGCCCTCAGGGAAACCAAAAAGTCTGTACATTGCAAAGAATAGAAGATTGCTGGTCTATGTCAGACAGAAAAGAGAAGCCTAGAGAACTGACTTCGTTAGCCAACAACATTTGGGGCAGCAGTTGTCTTCCTGGGGATCAGATGTGGGAACAGTGAGTCTTGGCAGGCTGCTTGTCTCCGGCTCTGTTCAATGCGTCTATCTGCAAATGAATCATTTTTGCAAAATGCCATTCAGCCTTCCCCGATGACTGCTTTCCAGAGGAATGAGGCCTTAGTAAGCACTGCCCTCTCCCACAATAGAAAAGCAGGAATTCTAATAATATAGGAAACAAAATAAATGGGGAGAAGGGAAGAGAACGATGCCAAATAGGACATACTTTATAGATACACATGGCACCATTGATTTTTCCTGATATGAAGGTAAGAAGCTGGTTCATAGAATCAATCATAGAATCATAGAATCAAAGAGTTGGAAGAGACCTCCTGGGCCATCCAGTCCAACCCCATTCTGCCAAGAAGCAGGAATATTGCATTTAAATCACCCCTGACAGATGGCCATCCAGCCTCTGTTTAAAAGCTTCCAAAGAAGGAGCCTCCACCACACTCCGGGGCAGAGAGTTCCACTGCTGAACGGCTCTCACAGTCAGGAAGTTCTTCCTCATGTTCAGATGGAATCTCCTTTCTTGTAGTTTGAAGCCATTGTTCCATTGTGTCCTAGTCTCCAGGGAAGCAGAAAACAAGCTTGCTCCCTCCTCCCTGTGTCTTTATCCACATGATCATCATCATCATCATCTCCTCTCAGCCTTCTCTTCTTCAGGCTAAACATGCCCAGCTCCTTAAGCCGCTCCTCATAGGGCTTGTTCTCCAGACCCTTGATCATTTTAGTCCCTCCTCTGGACACATTCCAGCTTGTCAATATCTCTCTCGAATTGTGGTGCCCAGAATTGGACACAATATTCCAGGTGTGGTCTAACCAAGACAGAATAGAGCATGGGGAGCATGACTTCCCTAGATCTAGACACTATGCTCCTATTGATGCAGGCCAAAATCCCATTGGCTTTTTTTGCCCCACATCACATTGTTGGCTCATGTTTAACTTGTTGTCCACGAGGACTCCAAGATCTTTTTCACATGTACTGCTGGTTTTATAGGCAGTTTACAGTTGTGATGGTTCAATTTCACAAGTCTCTCTCCCTCCCCAACCTCTCTGACCCTGCATCTAAAGCAGGCATGGGCAAACTTGGGCCCTCTGGATGTTTTGGACTTCAACTCCTACAATTCCTTACAGCCTCAGGCCCCTTCATTTCCCCTCTCAGTTGCTTAAGCGAAGGAAGAGGCCGGAGGGTGTTAGGAATCATGGGAGTTGTAGTCCAAAACACATGGAGGGCCCAAATTTGCCTATGCCTAATCGATAGTGTGATGATACCTAAGAGCACCTGCCCACTAAATGAACACAGGAGTATTTTCAGGCATTGCAAACCTGAGGTTGTATACAGAGAGATTGCCATGCAAAGAACTTAACTGGATTATCTCCTTTAGTAAAGGTAAAGGTTGAACATACTTGCATGCTTGAATGAGAGTTTGTGTTCTGGCACAGCTGTACCAGGAGCTCCAACTTTATTTGCTTTGTATTATATGTTTGTTTGCAGTCCTAGGTTTCAGGGACTCTGCAGATAGGTGGCTTCCTTTGGTTGCAGTCATAGGGCAAGTCACCTATCCATCATCGGTAAGTTTTGGTTCCGCCCCTTGCTCAGGGCAATTGGGAAGGGAAAGGAGCCATTTTTTAGTTAGTCTCAGCAAGGAAAGCTAATGTACAGGACGTGTGCAAGCTTCCCCTTTACAAAAGCTTCAACCCTCAAGATTTTCTGGGGGGAAACAGTCTTAAGAAACCCTCAAGATTTTCCAGGGGGAAACAGTCTTAAGAGCATCCAAAGATTCCCAGGGAAACAGCCCTAAAGCTCTGAGGAATTTCGGAGGGAAAAACAGCTTTGAATATCAAAGAACTCCAGCTGAAGAGACTACAGGCCTTGCTGGTAGGTCCACTTGGTGCTTTGAGACGCAGTTCAACCCAGTAGTGGAGCCCACATTAGTTAGGTTTAGGTTCACAGTCAGCCTGGGAGAAGTTAGAAAGGGATTTTCCTTTAAAGTAAAGTAACAGTTAGAAGCCACCAGTTGCACAAAAGCCTGGAAGCATTTGTTTAACCTTTGGAAGACAAGAGAAGTTTCTGTTTGATTGTTCCTCAATAAAAGACTTTGTTATATTTTACAAGCCCTCTAAAGACTGTTTGTGGTGGAAAATTCCTAACAGCTTCTCCTTGGGCCCCCTGGCTTCCTGCTGGGCAAAGGTTGCACATCCTGTTCTAAAGGAAATTCTTTACAGACCCAGAACAGTTTGATACATCTTTATTGCAGAAAGTAAAGTCCCAACACAAATAAACAAAATTTGAAACTAATTTAATGTATTATTCATGTGTAATTACTGTATGTATTATGTGTATGTAGAGGTATCTAATTGTGCCGGCTGTAAGCTGCCCCGAATCCCCACTTTGGGGGTAGAGAAGGGCGGGGTACAAATGCTAGAAATAAATAAATAAGGTTTCCCCTGACATTAAGTGCAGTTGTGTCCGACTCTGGGGGATGGTGCTCAACTCCATTTCTAATTTGAGGAGCCAGCGTTATCCATAGACGTCTCCAAGGTCATGTGGCTGGCATGACTGCATGGAGCACTGTTACCTTCTCGCTGGAGCAGTACTTACTTACTTAGGCGATCCCTCGTTTTCCGAGGAGGATTGTAAGTGTTTTTGTGGGTCCGTATGTGGCTGTGGAGCCCTATTCTTGATCTGCATCTTCTTCCGCAGTGAGGGCATTGGTTTCCAGGTGGAAGGTGTTTGGGGTTGGCTTGACGCGCCTTCCTCTTGGCACGCTTCTCCCTTTCACCCTCCATTCGTGCCTCTTCAAATTATGCAGCACTGCTGGTCACAGCTGACCTCCAGCTGGAGCGGTCAAGGGCCAGGGCTTCCCAGTTCTCAGTGTCAATGCCAGAGTTTTTAAGGCTGGCTTTGAGCCCATCTTTAAATCTCTTTTCCTGTCCTCCAACATTCCGTTTTCCATTCTTGAGTTTGGAGTAGAGCAACTGCTTTGGGAGACGGTGGTCAGGCATCAGGACAACGTGGCCGGTCCAGCGGAGTTGATGGCAGAGGACCATCGCTTCAATGCTGGAGCAGTACCTATTGATTTATTCACATTTGCATGTTTTCGAACTGCTAGATTGGCGGAAGCTGGGGCTAACAGTGGGAGCTCACATTGCTCCTTTTGTGAGCAAAAGCTGAACATACCAGCTCCACTGGCTGCCAATTAGCTTCCGAGCACAATTCAAAGTGCTGGTGTTAACCTATAAAGCCATAAACGACTCCGGCCCGGTTTACCTCTCCGAACGTATTCTCCCCTATGAACCATCAAGATTACTAAGACCGTCTGGAGGGGCCTTGCTCTCGGTCCCGCCGGCCTCACAAGCGCGTCTGGTGGGGACGAGGGACAGGGCCTTCTCGGTAGTGGCCCCGCGACTCTGGAACTCTCTCCCGCCAGAGGTTAGAACCGCCCCAACAATCCTGACATTCAGGAAACAGGTGAAGTCGTGGTTATGGAGACAGGCCTTCGAAGAATGAGACAATGATCTGGATGGAAGACGGTGTATATTCGATTTTAGTATGACGACTGACCACTGTAGTTTTAAATATATGTGCTTTTTAAATGTTTTATTGTAATGTGTATTTTGATATTTTACCGATTGTATGTGTTTTTATGGTTGGAAACCGGGCTGAGTCCCTCTTATGAGGTGAGAAGCTCGGTATAGAAAACTTTGAAATAAATAAATAAATAAATACTTGCATACTTGAATGAGAGTTTAATACATCTTTATTACAGAAAGTAAAGTGCCAACACAGAGTTTGCCACCTGAGCCTGTCGCTTCTGCCTGTCTTCCTGGAACTCCTACAAGTCAGCTTCTCTTTTGTTAAAGCACCATTTACTACCCATTTCCTATGTCTTTCGTCAACTGTCAGGGTGCCAGAGGCTAATTTTCTAGCTGCAGATAAGCTACAGCTTCTGCTGGGATCTGCTGCACCTACACAACGTCCTGGAACAAAGCCATGCTTCCCTTTGCATGGGCGTGTGCCATACATCAACTCACAGGAGCAACTGCCATGCTGTCAGTGAATGGATCACCAGGACAACAAGTTCCAGGCTCCCACCTACACAGCTACAGCATGTTAGCTAGCCGAGCCTTGAGGAAGCAAGACAGAGTCGGAAGCTGGAGGAGAACTTGGCAATGACTCCTGTGTCTCAGCAAAAAATGCAGCTGGTGGTTTGCCTTGTCTAAGCTGCTAATACTAAAGAGGGGGATGGACCCAGAATCTACAAGAGAAGGCTAAGAACACATCCAGCGAGCCTGGCGCATTTAACCCAGTGGCACAGAGGGTTAAACCCGTGCCGGCAGGACTGAAGACCAACAGGTTGCAGGTTTGAATCCGGGGAGAGCGTGGATGAGCTCCCTATATCAGCTCCAGCTCCTCATGCGGGGACATGAGAGAAGTCTCCCACAAGGATGGTAAAAGCATCAAAACATCCGGGCGTCCCCTGGGCAACGTCCTTGCAGACGGCCAATTCTCTCACACCAGAAGCGACTTGCAGTTTCTCAAGTTGCTCCTGACATGACAAAGTTTCAGTTGTGCTCAAAGAGTCTGATAGAATGCATTTGCAAATAACAGCGTGACCTGAGACACTCTATGTTTCAACAATAAGGGGATGACTATATATATGCAGTGGGAAGGCCTGTACAGGTGGAGAATCCCATACACAAAATTCCAAATTTTTGAAGGTTGTCCACATGGGTGGCTGAGATGGAGACACACTTCTTTTCTGATGGTTTCACGTACACCAACTTTGTTTCATGCACAGGATCATTTTAAAGCATGTTGCACATAGAACCCCCATGCCTTAAGGGATACATGCGCACCACATTGCCATGAGCCGAGCATGCCTGCTCTCCTCTCCCTGCTTTGGCTGAGAGGCTGGCTGAGAGAATGGACAATCACAGTGGAGGAGGGCTTTTGGTGGGAGTATTCACCGTCTGTTTCCAAAAAGGAAGAGAAGGACAGGAGAAGAGATCTTCAGCCTTCTCTGCCGAAGGGAATCCTAAGACTATCAGAAATATGTGTTTTCGTATGGTCTTTGGTGACCCCTCTGAAATGCCCTCACAACTCCAGGGGTCCCGACCCCCAAGGTTGAGAAATGCTGCCTTAGGGTTACCATCAGTGTCAGTGCCTCTCAAACTGGGCTGGCCCTGGAGTCTCCCATTTCTGGTTTAGAGTTATTGACTTTACACAGAGAGAGACCACACTCAGTTTGATCCCCAGGTCCCTTGCCTAATTCACATCGAGTCTGTCCTTTTCCGGGCGAACACAGCCGAGACACTCTTGACGATGCTGCGGATGCCGTTGCCTTTCTTGAGGGCCAGCTTGGCTTCAGAGATGCGCTCCGCCACGGCATGGAAGACCATGACCGCCCCGTGATAGGCTTCCGCTGCCGACACTTCATAGAACTCGCAGTCCATGGAGCGTGCCAGGAGGCGGCCTTCCTCGCTGGAGACGGCGCGCCGATGGTGGAGGTCTCGCTTGTTTCCCACAATGACGATGGGCACTTTCTCCTGGCCGGGGCCTTCCTTGGCTGCCTTGATGACTTGGACTTTGGGTCGCAGACTGTTGAAGCTGGCTCGGTCACAGATGCTGTAGACCAGGATAAAGCCGTCGGCCCATTGGATGCGCTTTTCCTCAGGGGAGCTCTCCTCCGTCCACTTCTGAGAAGGGAAACAGGGAAGGCATTAAGGTTTGGTAGACAAATGGGCCAAATACAAAGAGCATTTCATTCCACTGAATTGCAGCAATTCAGTCAATTGGAACAGCACATTTAAATGTTCTTAAACACTTCCTTTCTAATAAATTTCCCTGCAAGTATATTCTTATAAGGAATATGTTTTATTTATTCACTAGCTTGGGTACCTGGTGTTGCCTGGGATATTCAAAAAAGTCAATTTTTAATGGGTTGTTGAAGGTTTTTTCAGGCTATATGGCCATGGTCTAGAGGCATTCTCTCCTGACGTTTTGCCTGCATCTATGGCAAGCATCCTCAGAGGTAGTGAGGTCTGTTGGAACTAGGAAAAAGGGTGTATATATCTGTGGAATGACCAGGGGGGCTGCAAAGAACTCTTGTCTGCTGGAGCTAGGGGTGAATGTTTCAACTACTGACCACCTTGATTAGCATATAATGGCCTGGCAGTGCCTAGAGCAAACTTTTGTTGAGAGGTGATTAGATGTCCTTGTTTGTTTCCTCTCTGTTGTTGTGCTGTTGCAATTTTAGAGTTTTTTAATACTGGTAGCCAGATTTTGTTCATTTTCATGGTTTCCTCTTTTCTGTTGAAATTGTCCACATGCTTCTTGTGAATTTCAATGGCTTCTCTGCCATTGAAATCCACAAGAAGCATGTGGACAATTTCAAGAGAAAGGTTTTTTTGGGCTGTATGGCCATGGTCTAGAGCCATTCTCTCCTAACGTTTTGCCTGCATCTATGGCAAGCATCCTCAGAGGTAGTGAGGTCTGTTGGAACTAGGAAAAAGGGTTGATATATCTGTGGAATGACCAGGGTGGGAGAAAGGATTCTTGTCTGCTGGAGCTAGGGGTGAATGTTTCAACTGACCACCTTGATTAGCATATAATGGACTGACAGTGCCTAGAACAAACTTTTGTTGAGAGATTAGATGTCCTTGTTTGTTTCCTCTCTGTTGTTGTGCTGTTGTAATTTTAGAGTTACTGGTAGCCAGATTTTGTTCATTTTCATGGTTTCCTCCTTTCTGTTGAAATTGTCCACCTGCTTCATGTGGATTTCAATGGCTTCTCTGTGTAGTCTGACATGGTGGTTGTGAGAGTGGTCCAGCATTTCTGTGTTCTCAAATAATATGCTGTGTCCAGGTTGGTTCATCAGGTGCTCTGCTATGGCTGACTTCTCTGGTTGAAGTAGTCTGCAGTGCCTTTCATGGTCCTTGATTCGTGTTTGGGCAATGCGGCTGCGTTTGGTGGTCCCTATGTAGAATTTTTTAATGGTCCAAAATGCATAAAGTTGTGGGTGAACTTCAGATCCAGGGAAGTCATGCCACCCCTCTATTCTGCCTTGGTTAGACCACACCTGGTCTAACCAGTTCAGGATACCATGATTGAAGAGAGATATTGACAAGCTGGAATGTGTCCAGAGGAGGGCGACTAAAATGATCAAGGGTCTGGAGAACAAGCCCTATGAGGAGCGGCATAAAGAGCTGGGCATGTTTAGGCTGAAGAAGAGAAGGCTGAGAGGAGACATTATAGCCATGTATAAAATATGTGGGAGGAAGTCATAAGGAAGAGGGATTGAACTTGTTTTCTGCTGCCCTGGAGACTAGAACACGGAGCAATGGCTTCGAACTACAAAAAGCAGATTCCATCTGAACATTAGGAAGAACTTCCTGACTGTGAAAGCTGTTCAGCAGTGGAACTCTCTGCCCCGGAGTGTGGCACACAGAACTCCCATGATCAATAGAAAATACTGGAAAGGTTTGGCAGGTATTGACCTTGAGTTTTGGAGTTGTAGTTCACCTACATCCAGAAAGCACTGTGGACTGAAACATGATGGATCTGAAGCAAACTTGGCACAAATACTCAATATGTCCAAATGTGAACCCTGGTGGAGTTTTTGCAAAATAGACTTTGACATTTAGGGGTTGTAGTTGCTGGGATTTATAGTTCACCTACAATCACAGCAGGAGTAGAGCTTTTGGTGGGAGGACTTGCTGTCTGTCTCCAAAAAGGAAGACAAGGACAAGTGGAGAGATCTTCAGTCTTCCTTTTTGGAAACAGACGGCAAATCCTCCCACCAAAAGCTTTACTCCTGCTGTCCTTGTCATAGAATCATAGAATCATAGAATCAAAGAGTTGGAAGAGACCTCATGGGCCATCCAGTCCAACCCCATTCTGCCAAGAAGCAGGAATATTGCATTCAAAGCACCCCTGACAGATGGCCATCCAGCCTCTGTTTAAAAGCTTCCAAAGAAGGAGCCTCCACCACACTCCGGGGCTGAGAGTTCCACTGCTGAACGGCTCTCACAGTCAGGAAGTTCTTCCTCATGTTCAGATGGAATCTCCTCTCTTGTAGTTTGAAGCCATTGTTCCGCGTCCTAGTCTCCATAGAAGCAGTAAACAAGCTTGCTCCCTCCTCCCTGTGGCTTCCTCTCACATATTTATACATGGCTATCATATCTCCTCTCAGCCTTCTCTTCTTCAGGCTAAACATGCCCAGCTCCTTAAGCCGCTCCTCATAGGGCTTGTTCTCCAGACCCTTGATCATTTTAGTCGCCCTCCTCTGGACACATTCCAGCTTGTCAATATCTCTCTTGAATTGTGGTGCCCAGAATTGGACACAATATTCCAGATGTCTTCCTCTTTGGAAACAGGAAGATTTGAAGCGGCGGCCTTTCGGTCAACAAGTTCAGCAGCTCAGCGGTTTAACCCACTGTGCCACTGGGGACTCCTGGATTGTTTTTACATGAAGTGAAATACAGGGATTAACATTTATCTCCACTTCGGTCTCCCAGAAGTTGCCCCCAACATGACAATCAGTGGTGGTTGCTGATTATAGAAGCGAAGGTCCTAACGTCTTGCAGATTTCTGACTTGAGTTTTGCAACCACTCAGCTCCACTGAGGATATTCCTGCTGCTCCCTCGGCATCTGCTCTGATCTGAAAAGGGGAACTGCCAGTCCAGCCATGGTAGGGCTCCCATTCACCTTGAAGCAGCTCCCCAGGAAGAGCCCTGGCAAAACCCAGAGCGGATTCACCCATATGGCAGATGATGCACCAGCTGTCCCTGCCTACATGTTTTGCAGGAAGATTTAAATGTCATCCATGAGGAAGTCTCTCTTTCTCTCCCAGGGCCAACTATTCCAATAGGATCAGCTCATCCTTTCTTTAAAAAATAATATTGTTTCATACCAAGGTTAGTTCTCTGCCAAAGGGGTTCCTAAGACCATGAGAAATATGTGTTTTCTGATAGTCTTTGGTGACCTCTCTGAAACCCCCCTCGTGACTCCCCTCAGGGGTCCTGACCCCCAGGTTGAGAAATGCTGTCCTAGGTCATGGGGCTGGCATGACTGCATAGAGGACCGTTACCATCCTGCCAAAGCGGTATCTATTCATCTACACCAGTGGTTCTCAACCTGGGGGTCGGGACCCCTGTGGGGGTCGCGAGGGAGTGTCAGAGGGGTCACCAAAGACCACCAGAAAACATAGTATTTTCTCTTTGTCGTGGGTTCTGTGTGGGAAGTTTGGTCCAATTCTATCATTGGTGGTTCAGAATGTTATTTCATTGTAGGTGAACTATAAATCCCAACAACTACAACTCCCAAATGGCAAGGTCTGTTTTCTCCAAACTCTACCAGTCTTCTTTGCCTCGGTCTTCTCACAAAAAGAGAGTCTTCAACCTCAGCAAGATGGAGTGGATGAGGGATTGGAGGACATCCAACCCCAAATTGGGAAAGAAGTCGTCCAGGAATACCTGGCCGCTCTTAATGAGTTCAAGTCCCCAGGGCCAGATCAACTACACCCCAGAGTATTGAAGGAACTAGCGGAAGTCATTTCGGAACCATTGGCAACCATCTTTGAGAGTTCTTGGAGAACGTGAGAAGTTCCAGCAGATTGGAGGAGGGCCAATGTGGTCCCAATCTTCAAGAAGGGAAAAAAGGATGACCCAAACAATTACCGTCCGGTCAGCCTCACGTCGATACCAGGCAAGATTCTGGAAAAGATTGTTAAGGAAGTGGTCTGCAAACACTTAGAAACAAATGCCGTCATCGCTAATAGTCAACATGGATTTATCCAAAACAAGTCATGCCAGACTAATCTGATCTCTTTTTTCGATAGAGTTACAAGCTGGGTAGATGCGGGGAATGCCGTGGATGTAGCGTACCTGGATTTCAGTAAGGCCTCGACAAGGTCCCCCATGACCTTCTGGCAAGGAAACTAGTCCAATGTGGGCTAGGCAAAACTACGGTAAGGTGGATCTGTAATTGGTTAAATGGACGAACCCAGAGGGTGCTCCCAATGCTTCCTCTTCATCCTGGAAAGAAGTGACGTGGAGTGCCGCAGGGTTCCGTCCTGGGCCCGGTCCTGTTCAACATCTTTATAAATGACTTAGATGAAGGGCTAGAAGGCAGGATCATCAAGTTTGCAGACGACACCAAATTGGGAGGGATAGCCAATACTCCAGAGGACAGGAGCAGGATTCAAAATGATCTTGACAGATTAGAGAGATGGGTCAAAACTAACAAAATGAAGTTCAACAGTGACAAATGCAAGATACTCCACTTAGGCAGAAAAAACGAAATGCAAAGATACAGAATGGGGGATGCCTGGCTCGAGAGCAGTACGTGTGAAAAAGATTTGGAGTCCTCATGGACAACAAGTTAAACATGAGCCAACAATGTGATGTGGCGGCAAAAAAAGCCAATGGGATTTTGGCCTGCATCAATAGGAGCATAGTGTCTAGATCTAAGGAAGTAATGCTACCCCTCTATTCCGCTTTGGTTAGACCACATCTGGAATATTGTGTCCAATTCTGGGCACCACAATTGAAGAGAGATATTGACAAGCTGGAATGTGTCCAGAGGAGGGCGACTAAAATGATCAAGGGTCTGGAGAACAAGCCCTATGAGGAGCGGCTTAGGGAACTGGGCATGTTTGGCCTGAAGAAGAGAAGGCTGAGAGGAGATATGATAGCCATGTATAAATATGTGAGAGGAAGCCACAGGGAGGAGGGAGCAAGCTTGTTTTCTGCTTCCTTGGAGACTAGGACACGGAACAATGGCTTCAAACTACAAGAAAGGAGATTCCATCTGAACATGAGGAAGAACTTCCTGATTGTGAGAGCCGTTCAGCAGTGGAACTCTCTGCCCCGGAGTGTGGTGGAGGCTCCTTCTTTGAAAGCTTTTAAACAGAGGCTGGATGGCCATCTGTCAGGGGTGATTTGAATGCAATATTCCTGCTTCTTGGCAGGGGGTTGGACTGGATGGCCCATGAGGTCTCTTCCAACTCTTTGATTCTATGATTCTATTATTCTATATTGATTATCTGAGCAAAGTTTGATCCAGATCCATCACTGTTTGAGTCCACAGTGTTCTCTGGATGTAGGTGAACTACAACTCCAAAAACTCAAGTTCAGTGTCCAACAGACTCTCCCAGTATTTCTCTTGGTCATGGGAATTCTGTGTGCCAAGTTTGATTCAATTCCATCATTGGTGGAGTTCAAGAGGCTCTTTGATTTTAGGTGAACTATAAATCCCAGCAACTCCAACATTCCCAAATGACACCATCAATCCCCTCCAACCCCACCAGTATTCAAATTTGGGCGTATCAGGTATTTGTGCCAAATTTGGTCCAGTGAATGCAAATGCATCCTGCATATCAGATATTTATATTACGATCCATAACAGTAGCAAAATTAAAGAAGTAGCAACGAAAATAACGTTATGGTTGGGGGTCACCACAAGGTGAGAACCTGTACTAACGGGTCGCGGCATTAGGAAGGTTGAGAAACACTGATCTACACACATTTGCATGTTTTCGAACTGCTAGGTTGGCAGAAGCTGGGGCCAATGACAGGAGCTCACCCTATCCTGCGAATTCAAACTACTGACCTTCTGGTCAGCAAGTTCTGCAGCTTAGCGGTTTAACCCACAGTGTTACCGCGGCCCCTATGTTATCCAAAGCTAAAAATTATGTATTTCTGGCTGGAAATATATAAATGTACCCATTCCGACTTAGATTTAAATTCAACTTAAGAACAAACCTTCAGAACCTATCTTATTCATAACTTGGGGACTGCCTGTATATAGATACTAGCGGTCCCCTGCCACGCATTGCTGTGGCCCAGTCTGGTGATCTGGAAAATAAAGAGAAAGTGTTGTTTTCTAATATATGTTATGTCTTTATGCTTGTGAGTAAACAGTATTTCTTGCTGCTTCTTTGTCAGTGTTGATGTGGAGAGTGTCTGATTTGCCTCCTCTGGAGCAGGCAACATATCATCGTCCTTCTCTAGGGGTCCCTTTCAAATCTTTGATACTGCATCTGTCATATACATATGTGTGTGTGTGTGAATGGTTGGATGGCCCTTTGTCAAGAGGGCTTTGATTATGTTTTCTTGCCCTGGTGAAGGGAGTTGGACTGGACAGCCTCAAGGCAGCATTTCTCAACCTGGGAAGTCAAGGCCCGGGGGAGGGGGGGTCACCAGGAGGGTGTCAGAAGTGTCACCAAAGACCACCAGAAAGCACAGAGTTTTCTGTTGGTCATGGGGATTCTGTGTGGGATGTTTGGCCCAATTCAAACATGTGAGAGGAAGCCACAGGGAGGAGGGAGCAAGCTTGTTTTCTGCTTCCTTGGAGACTAGGACGCGGAACAATGGCTTCAAACTACAAGAGAGGAGATTCCACCTGAACATTAGGAAGAACTTCCTGACTGTGAGAGCCGTTCAGCAGTGGAACTCTCTGCCCCGGAGTTTGGTGGAAGCTCCTTCTTTGGAAGCTTTTAAGCAGAGGCTGGATGGCCATTTGTCAGGGGTGATTTGAATGCAATGTTCCTGCTTCTTGGCAGAATGGGGTTGGACTGGATGATGGCCCAAGAGGTCTCTTCCAACTCTTTGATTCTATGGTTCTATGATTCTAATTCCATTGTTGGTGGGGTTCAGAATGCTCTTTGATTTTAGGTGAGCTATACATCCAAGTAACTACAACTCCCAAATGTCAAGTTCTATTTCCCCTAAACTCCATCTGTGATCACATTTGGGCATATTGCGTATTCCTGTCAAGTTTGGTCCAGATCCATCATTGTTTGAGTCCACGGTGTTCTCTGGATGGAGGTGAACTACAATTCCAAAATTCAAGGTCAATGCCCACCAAACCCTTTCAGTATTTTCTGTTGGTCATGGGAGTTCTGTGTGCCAAGTTTGGTTCGATTCCATTGTTGGTGGAGTTCAGAATGCTCTTTGATTATTGGTGAACTATAAATCCCAGCAACTACAACTCCCAAACGACAAAATCATAATTTTTTGAGTGATGGTCACTTTTTGTGTAGTGAGACATTTTGTTGCCAAATTTTTGTAATTTCGTTCATTGGTTCTTTTGTTTCTAAGGTACTCATTATGCACAGCACATTTATATATATATAGATTGAAGAATCCACTTGGTATTTAGAAGGCACTCGGCAGCCGAAGAGGCAACGGGGGTTTGGCCTGGAGCTCTGGAAACTTTTGCATTCTTCTGGAACTAATTGAAGCCAATTAAAAATGTCGCTCTCACACACACGATTCAAAGCCTTCTTTAGTTTAACTCTTACTTTAAGTGGGGGAAAGGGCATGAAGCAGAAGGGGGATTAGTCCATCAGTAAGGTTTTTTCGCTTTTCATCAAAAGTCAAGATACAAACACGAGAAAAATTAATTAAATGTAAAAGAATAGGAAAGCTCTCGCTCACCTGCGAGTAAGGAAAATCCCAGATGTGGAAGAGGATCTCTCTGCCTTCCGTTGCCAAAGTGTGGGTGTAGATGGATTCTGGGTGGGGAAAAGCAAAACATTATCGCTGCCAGAAAGTTGTAGCCTTCAACCATGGCTGTTCAAGGAGCTCCACTGGCTGCCGTTTATTTTCCGAGCCCATTTTAAGGTGCAGGTGCTTACCTACAAAGCCCTAAACGGTTTGGGACCATCCTACCTGCGTGACCACATCTCCGTTTATGAACCCACGCGCTCACTTCGTTCATCCGGAGAGGCCCTGCTCGCGATTCCGCCTGCATCGCAAGCGCGTTTGGTGGGGACGCAAGACAGGGCCTTTTCTGTGGTGGCCCCCCGACTCTGGAACACCCTCCCCAAAGATCTTAGACAGGCCCCTACGTTGGCAGTCTTAAGAACTTGAAGACCTGGCTGTTCTGATGTGCCTTTCCAGAATAGGAATCTCCAATACCAAGTCCCAGAAGCACTTTATTAGAAATTAAGATTGTTGGCACACTGCACTTACCCTATAATCCTACATATCACCTGTCACATCAGCACTTTTAATCAGTACCCATTACTCTGGCACGGCCCAGTTTTATTGTGTCCTGGTGTATTGTTTCATTGCTCATTGTTTAATATTGCTTTAATAGGGCTGGGCGGTTTCGTTTCATAATTTCGTAATTCGGTAAAAATTCGTTATTTTTTTTATAACGAAGTGATATTGAACCATTCAGGAGCGACTAAAAAACGAAACGAATTTTTCCAATTCGTTTCGTAATTGATTCGTTATTATTTCCGCATGTCTGGTGCAAGTTTTAGGGTTGCTGTTTGTTTTCTCAGTGAAAAAAATATAATCATCACACCAACAGTCAACAACAGCGGGAGAGGGAAGCTTCAGAAGTTTTTTTAGCGTATTGCGCGATCGCGTCCGCCATTAACGAATCGATTCGTAATCGATTCGTAATCGATTCGTTATTGTTTTATGATATCCAAAATTTCCTAAATATCGAACTTTTTTTAAGGAAAATTTCGGAATTCTTTTAAATAACGAAACGCAAAAAAACCCTAAAAACGAATCGAGTTTAGAAACAAATTTTTCCGTGTTTGGACCGCCCTATGCTTTAACTGTTTTTAATTTGCTTTAGGTTGTATATTGTTATGTTGTGTGTTGAGGCCTTGGCCTTTGTAAGCTGCATCGAGTCCTTCGGGAGATGCTAGCGGGTTACAAATAAAGTTAATAATAATAATATAATTCCCACTCCCTTTTCAGCCTGGCCGTTTTCTCTAGAAGACACCAGCACGAAACATATAATGAATATTTCACACTGACCACCAAACCACATGGACTCCTGTCGATGACTTGGAAATACCGTATATACTCGAGTATAAGCTGAGCCAAATATAAACCAAGGCACCTAATTTTACCACAAAAATTGGGAAAATGTATTGACTCGAGTATAAGCCAATGGTTGGAAATGCAGCAGCTACTTGTAAACTTCAAAACAAACAAACAAACAAATAAATGTCATCTTATTGGTATTTATTTTTATTTTGATGTTTACGAGTAGCTGTAGTTATTATTATTATTATTATTATTATTATTAGAAACACAACAAGATGAGTCAACAGTCAGCAGAGTGATCTTGTTTGCTGTGGACTCATCTTGTTGTGTTTCAAATAATAATAATAATAATAATAAATAGAGTAAAATAATGCATGTAATAATATCAATAATAATAAAGTAATATAATAAATATAATAATAATATAGAGTAAAATCTCCAGCAAAGGATCACCACCTTGTCGTGGCGCTGGAGCTTGAGCATCTCAATGATGTCATGAGCGAAACCGTGAAGGGTCACCCAAGACGGGACGGTCGTGGCAGAGAGGTCAGACCAAGTGTGATCCCTGGGGAAGGCAATGGCAAACCACCCCAGTATCCTTGCCAAGAAAACTAAATGGACCAGTACAACCAGAAATATGTCGGTATGCCATTGGAAGATGGGACTCCCAGGTCGGAAGATGGACATTGAAGGAGTTGGGGGTGGTGACAGCCGACAGGGAGCTTTGGCGTGGGCTGGTCCATGAGGTCACGAAGAGTCGGAGACGACTAAATGAATGAACAACAACAACATAGAGTAAAATAATATAAACATAATAATAAAATAAAGTAAAATAATTATTATTATTATTATTATTATTATTATTATTATTATTATTATTATTTGGAACACAACAAGATGAGTCAACAGCCAGCAGAGTGATCTTGTTTGCTGTGGAGTCATCTTGTTGTGTTTCAAATAATAATAATAATAATAATAACTAGAGTAAAATAATGCATGTAATAATGTCAATAATAATAAAGTAATATAATAAATGTAATAATAATAACTAGAGCAAAATAATGCATGTAATAATATCAATAATAATAAAGTAATACGATAATGTAATAATAATATAGAGTAAAATTATAAATGTTGTTGTTGTTGTTATTATTATTAGAAACACAACATGTAAAATAATAATTAATAATGTAAAATAAAAAATATAATAAGTAGAGTAAAATAATAAATGTAATAATAGAGTAAAATAGTGTAAATGTAATAATGATAATAAATCAGGTAAAATAATAAATGTAATAATAATAACAACAACAGAGTAAAATAATAAATAACTTTGTAATAAATAAAGTACAATAATACATGTAAAATAATAATAAATAGAGAAAAATAATAAATGTAAAAGTAATAATAGAGTAAAATAATGTAAATGTAATAATAATAAAAATAATAGAGTAAAATAATAAATGCAATAATAATATTAATAATAGCAACAGAGTAAAATAATAATAAATAACATAATAATTAATGTAATAATAATAATAAATAGAGTAAAATAATAAATGAAATCAAAATAATAGAGTAAAATAATGTAAATGTAATAATAATAATAAATAGAGTAAAATAATAAATGTAATAATAATAATAATAATAAAATAATAGCTGGGTAACAACGGAAAAATTTGTTTCTAAAATCGATTTGTATTTGGGTTTTTTTTTGTTTCGATATTTAAAATAATTACAAAATTTTCCTTTTAAAAAGTTCGATATTTACGAAATTTCGTAAATGGTAAAAAATTAACGAATCGATTTCCGAAACAATAACGAATCGATTCGTTAATGGCGGACGCGACCGCGAAATACGCTAAAAAACCTCCAAAACCTTCTGAAGCTTCCCTCTCCCTCTGTTGTTGACTGTTGGTGTGATATTATAATTTTTTTTCACTAATTAAACCATAAAACTGGCCCAGACATGCGGAAATAATAACGAAACGACCTCAAAACAAAAACGAAACGAATACAATATCGAAATACGAAGCATTTACAAAACGTTTTTGAAAATTCGTTTTTTTTAATAATTGCTCCAGAATGGTTCGTTATCGTTTTGTAATTGAAAAAATTAACGAATTATTAACGAATTACGAATTAACGAAACGAACCCGCCCAGCCCTAATATATATACATTTGAGCCACGGGGGGCTTTTTCAGCCTTGAAAAAAGGGCTGAAAAACTCGGCTTATACTTGAGTATATACGGTAATTACTTTTGAGGATTACAACTCTCCCAACCAGGGATCCTGAGAGCTGTAGCCCAAAGAGACGGCTTTCTCAGCCTCTGCACATGTCTTATGTGCACAGACATGTTGGCAATGGGATTAAACCTCTAATTTTTCCTTCTGGTGGTGACGTAACCTAAATAAATTATACACTCACACATAGGGCATATAATGGGAATTGTACTTCAACGTATTTGGAAGGTGTTGGCTTGAGAAAGCCAGCAAGCTGCAACAAACCATGGCAGCAAGCACACATTGGTGCCACGTGAAGGTGGCAATGGCACTTACTTACCCATATCTCCATATTCCCCAATGAACCTCCTGGTGAGAAAGCGCACTGTCAAAGCTGCAAGAAAAAGAAAAGAGTGGGAGTTGTGACTGCTACGCAAGATGGGTCTGCCGCAGAGAAGGCAGGACGCTTTTCTATTCTCGGCCTTCGAAACACAATGAGCACAAAATAGCCCTGCAGGCAAGTTCACAGTTTCTAAACACTGTGTGAACATTTTCGAAATGTATTTTTTGGCAGGCTCTGCAACTACAACATTTGGCAGACTTTTATTTAGGAGGTAAATATGTTACATTTTTAAGAGCTAGCTCAATCCTTACATATGCATCTATGTTTTAATATTCTAGTTACGGTTTTTTTTATTTTTTTATTTATAGTATTTATATTCCGCCCTTCAATGTACACATACATGGCAAACATTCAATGCCATAGACACACAACATATATAGACAGACACACAGAGGCTATTTAACATTCCAGCTTCTGGCCACCAGGGGAGCTGTCGCTTCATCGTCCATTTGTGACACTGATGAAGTACTTCCTCATTCTTTGCATGCTTGCTGGAGATTTTTATGGCATTGTAAATTAGACACACAACATATATAGACAGACACTCAGAGGCTATTTAACAATCCAGCTTCATGAGGGTATTCTGGCCACCAGGGGAGCTGTCGCTTCATCGTCCATTTGTGACACTGATGAAGTACTTCCTCATTCTTTGCATGCTTGCTGGAGATTTTTATGGCATTGTAAATTAGACACACAACATATATAGACAGACACTCAGAGGCTATTTAACAATCCAGCTTCATGAGGGTATTCTGGCCACCAGGGGAGCTGTCGCTTCATCGTCCATTTGTGACACTGATGAAGTACTTCCTCATTCTTTGCATGCTTGCTGGAGATTTTTATGGCATTGTAAATTAGACACACAACATATATAGACAGACACTCAGAGGCTATTTAACAATCCAGCTTCATGAGGGTCTTCTGGCCACCAGGGGAGCTGTCGCTTCATCGTCCATTTGTGACACTGATGAAGTACTTCCTCATTCTTTGCATGCTTGCTGGAGATTTTTATGGCATTGTAAATTAGACACACAACATATATAGACAGACACTCAGAGGCTATTTAACAATCCAGCTTCATGAGGGTATTCTGGCCACCAGGGGAGCTGTCGCTTCATCGTCCATTTGTGACACTGATGAAGTACTTCCTCATTCTTTGCATGCTTGCTGGAGATTTTTATGGCGTTGTAAATTAGACACACAACATATATAGACAATGTCATCTGCCACAACGCCATTCCAGTCAATGTCCATTACCCATTACAGGCTGTTTAACATTCCAGCTTCTGGCCACCAGGGAAGCTGTCACTTCACCGTCCGTTTCTGACACTGATGAAGTACTTTCTCATTCTTCGCATGCTTGCTGGAGATTTTTATGGCCTTGTAAATTAGTTAAATTAGCCTCCCCACATAAGTGGTACCTAAATTTCCTACTTGACAGATGCAACTGTCTTTCGGGCTGCAAAGGTCGACAACAAACTACACAAATTGGTCGGAACCTCACTCCAACCTGGGCTGGCTTTGAACTTTTATATTATGTGTTAATGTTTTTAAATGTTTTATGGTGTTTTTGGGCATTGAATCGTTGCCATTGTAAACCACCCTGAGTCGCATGAGGGTTGAGAAGGGCGATATACAAATACACTAAATGAATAAATAAATAATAAACTTGGGAACTGTTTCAGATTGCAATCCTATTGTTTACTAAGTCCTGGTTCCGTCCTGGGCCCAGTTCTGTTCAACATCTTTATTGATGACTTAGATGAAGGGTTAGAAGGCATCGTCACCAAGTTTGTAGACAGGACCAAATTGGGAGGGATGGCTAATACTCCAGAAGACAGGAGCAGAATTCAAAATGATCTTAACAGATTAGAGAGATGATTGGCCAAAACTAACAAAATGAAGTTCAGCAGGGACAAATACAAGATACTCCAATTAGGCAGAAAAAATAAATGCAAATATACAGATGTGGGATGCCTGGCTTGACAGCAGGATGGGTGAAAAAGATCTTGGAGTCCTCATGGACAAGTTAAACATGAACCAACAATGCAATGTGGCAGCTAAAAAAGCCAATGGGATTTTGGCCTGCATCAATAGGAGTCTAGTACTTTGATCTAAGGAAGTCATGCTCTCCATGCTCTATTCTGCCTTGGTCAGACCACACCTGGAATCTGGTGTGCTCTGTGGGCACCACAACTGAAGGGAGATGTTGACGCAAAGCTGGAATGTGTCCAGAGGAGGGTGACTAAAATGGTCAAGCCTTCTCTCATATGTCCTCATGGGAAGCCGGAGCTGACAGAAGGAGCTCAACCAACTCTCCTGATTCAAACCACTGACCTCTCGGTCAGCAGTCCTGCCGGCACAAGGGTTTAACCTATTGTGCCACTGGGGCTCTATTTTAAAGCTGCTTGAATGTTATTCAAGTCGCTGAATCTGAAACCACCTAGGTTGTATTTCAGAGGTCCAAACAGATCAAAGTCAGAAGGGACCAAATCACAGTGATGGTGGGTTTCCTTAGGTGCAAGTAAAAGGTAAAGGTAGTCCCCTGACATTAAGTCCAGTCATAGGTGCACAACCTTCTTTTTGCCAGAAATTCAATGATGACTCTTTCTTTGAGCTTCAGATTCATGGATCTAATCAGTCAATTGGAAAAAGAAAAGGCTGTATCAATAGAGTAAGGTGACCTCTGTCATATCATGCAGAAGAAAGAAATAAAAGTTAGAGTGATGGAGGCCTTACTTTTTGAACCACCTCTGTGTGTGTGTGTGTGTGTGTGTGTGTGTGTAGATAGATAAATAGACAGACAGACAGACAGACCTCATGGGCCATCCAGTCCAACCCCATTCTGCCAAGAAGCAGGAAAATTGCATTCAAAGCACCCCCAACAGATGACCATCCAGCCTCTGTTTAAAAGCCTCCAAAGAAGGAGCCTCCACCACATTCTGGGGCAGAGAGTTCCGCTGCTGAACAGCTCTCACAGTCAGGAATCTTCCTCATGTTCAGATGGAATCTCCTTTCTTGTAGTTTGAAGCCATGGTTCCATTGCGTCCTAGTCTCCAGGGCAGCAGAAAACAAGTTTGCTCCTTCCTCCCTATGACTTCATCTCACATATTTATACATGGCGATTATGTCTCCTCTCAGCCTTCTCTTCTTCAGGCTAAACATTCCCAGCTCTTTAAGCCGCTCCTCATAGGGCTTGTTCTCCAGACCCTTGATCATTTGAGTCACCCTCCTCTGGACACATTCCAGCTTGTCAATGTCTCTCTTCAATATTCCAGGTGTGGTCTAACCAAGGCAGAATAGAGGGGTAGCATGACGATATAGATAGATAGATAGATAGATAGATAGATAGATAGATAGATAGATAGATAGATAGATAGATAGCAGTAGTTCCCTACCTTTGGTCCTCCAGGTGTTTTGGATGTCAACTCCCAGAAATCCCAGCCAGTTTAGCAGCTGTTAGGAATTGTGGGAGTTGAAGTCCAAAATACCTGGAGGACCAAAGGTTTGGAACCACTGCTTTGGATAACACAGGGATGGGTTAACAAGCCATGTGGCGTTTCCTTTGCTCTCTGTGCCCCTATTCAGAAGATTTCACTTCACTTTCTGTTCTTGTCAGAATTGGATTTTGAAAAATTTGGAAACAAGAAGTGGTGAGAAAGCTTCAGTGGAGACCCCTTTCCCCCATGATAATAGCTCTTCCAGGAGTGAATTTCCCTTCCAAGGGGAAGATTTCTCTCACTTCTTGTTGTCTCAGCCCTGTTCTTAACGATGGCTCATTTATAAATCGAATGTTTATAGCTCGAGGGCTCAGGGGTCCTCAAACTAATGTCCGAGGGCTGAATATGGCCCTCCAAGGTCATTTACCCGGCCGTTGCTAAGGGTCAACCTGAGTCTGAAAAAACTCGAAAGCAAACAACAACAACAACGATCCTATCTAATCAGCCAACCCCTGTGCCAGCAGGACTGAAGACTGACAGGTCGCAGGTTCGAATCCGGGGAGAGTGCAGATGAGCTCCCTCTGTCAGCTCCAGCTCCCCATGCGGGGACATGAGAGAAGCCTCCCACAAGGATGAAACATCATCAAATCATCCAGGCATTCGCAGGTTCGAATCCGGGGAGAGGCGGATGAGCTCCCTCTCAGCTCCAGCTCCTCATGCGGGGACATGAGAGAAGCCTCCCACAAGGATGATAAAAACATCAATCATCCGGGCGTCCCCTGAGCAATGTCCTTGCAGACAGGCTGAGCTCCCTCTGTTAGCTCCAGCTCCCCATGTAGGGACATGAGAGAAGCCTCCCACAAGGATGATAAAAAACATCAAATCATCCGGGCGTCCCCTGGGCAACGTCCTTGCAGACAGGTTGAGCTCCCTCTGTTAGCTCCAGCTCCCCATGTGGGGGCATGAGAGAAGCCTCCCACAAGGATGATAAAAAACATCAAATCATCCAGGCGTCCCCTGGGCAACGTCCTTGCAGACAGGCTGAGCTCCCTCTGTTAGCTCCAGCTCCCCATGGGGGGACATGAGAGAAGCCTCCCACAAGGATGATAAAAAACATCAAATCATCCGGGCGTCCCTTGGGCAACGTCCTTGCAGACAGGCTGAGCTCCCTCTGTTAGCTCCAGCTCCCCATGGGGGGACATGAGAGAAGCCTCCCACAAGGATGATAAAAAACATCAAATCATCTGGGCGTGCCCTGGGCAACGTCCTTGCAGACAGGCTGAGCTCCCTCTGTTAGCTCCAGCTCCCCATGCAGGGGCATGAGAGAAGCCTCCCACAAGGATGGTAAAACATCCAACAGCCAGGCGTCCCCTGGGCAACATCCTTGCAGACGGCCAATTCTCTCACACCAGAAGTGATTTGCAGTTTCTCAAGTTGCTCCTGACATGACAAAAAAAAAAAGCAGGCCCACACTTCCCAAAATAAGTTTATTTTGTTACAATTGTTCTTCATTTTAATTATTGTATTTTTTTTAGTGTTTTTTGCACTACAAATAAGATATGCGCAGTGTGCATAGGAATTCATTCATTTTTTTTTTCCAAATTATAATCCAGCCCTCCAACTGTTCAAAAAGTTTGAGGGCCCTTGCTTTAGCTAATCATCATGGTGATCTTCAGATCAGAGATCCAAAACTAGGTTTCCCAGCTTGGGCTCTTCTGACCTGAGTTACTCCCAGTGATTGCCACTCACCTGACTTGCCCACCTGGCCTGCCCCAAGGACCACCACGTTGGCTTCCACCTTGAGTGGGGTGGCAGGAGGGGTCTCCCCAACCGAATGGTGGTCTGGAGTGAAGCTGGCGCTCCGGCGAAGAGGGATCCGCAGCACCATGTCAGCAGCCCTGCTTTGGCCCTTTCCTATGTGTTCTTCCCCTTTGCACAGCCTGAGCCACAATGCGCTCCTCTCCACTGTGAGGAGCAAGAGTCCTTCGCATGGAGTGTACCATTCGCCATGCTTCGGAGGGGGAGCTGCATACAGTTGCATCATGTGCTGAAACACACATGGAAAGCCCAGCATTTAACGCACAATGAAATGATCATGAAAAGAAATCGAATAACACTATGGATGTAACAAATTTGGGGAAAAAAAATGTTCTGTTCCTGGTTTGAAAGTGTTCTTCCTTGTTTAGTTGTGCAGTGCTTACTTGTTGTAGTTGTCATCCTCCAGAAACTTTGTGTTTGTAGCTGCCACAAACTAGGTTGGAATTGGTTAAGACAGGGGTTCTCAACGTTCCTAATGGCGTGACCCCTTAACACAGTTCCTCATGTTGTGGTGACCCCCAACCATTACATTATTTTCATTGCTACTTCATAATTGTAATTTTGCTCCTGTTATGAATCGTTATGTAAATATCTGATGTGCAGGATGTATTCTCATTCACTGGACCAAATTTGGCACAAATACCCAATATGCCCAAATTTGAATACTGGTGGGGTTGGGATGGGAGGATTGATTTTGTCATTTGGGAGTTGTAGTTCCTGGGATTTATAGTTCACCTACAGTCAAAGAGCATTCTGAACTCTACCAATGATGGAATTGGACCAAACTTGGCACACAGAACTCCCATGACCAACAGAAAACACTGGAAAGGTTTGGTGGGCATTGACCTTGAGTTTTGGAATTGTAGTTCACCTACATCTAGAGAGCACTATGGACTCAAACAATGATGGATCTGGATCAAACTTGGCACGAATATTCAATATGCCCAAATGTGAACACTGGTGAAGTTCAGGGAAAATAGACCTTGACATTTGGGAGTTGGAGTTGCTGGGATTTATAGTTCACCTACAACCAAAGAGCATTCTGAAGCTCACCAATGATAGAATTAGGCCAAACTTCCCAGACAGAACTCCCATGACCAACAGAAAATACTGTCTGTGATGGTCTTGGGTGACCCCTCTAACACCCTCTCGCGACCCCTCGGGGGGTCCTGACCCCCAGGTTGAGAACCGCTGGGTTAAGACTCAGTTTATTGAAAAACTATTGAAAAATGTGCTACTGGTTGTCCCTCCTGTCAAAACAAAGTTTTTGCAGGGTTGTTGTAGGTTTTTTAGAGGCATTCTCTCCTGACGTTTTGCCTGCATCTATGGCAAGCATCCTCAGAGGTAGCTACTGAGGATGCTTGCCATAGATGCAGGCGAAACGTCAGGAGAAAATGCCCCCAGAACATGGCCATATAGCCCGAAAAAACCTACAACAACTCATGGAAAAAGTTTATTAAATTGCAAAACCTTGTGTTGTCGAAGGCTTACATGGCCGGAATCACTGGGTTGTTTTTTTCAGGCTATATGGCCATGGTCTAGGCATTCTCTCCTGACGTTTTGCCTGCATCTATGGCAAGCATCCTCAGAGGTAGTGAGGTCTGTTGGAACTAGGAAAAAGGGTTTATATATCTGTGGAATGACCAGGGTGGACAAAGGACTCTTGTCTGCTGGAGCTAGGTGTGAATGTTTCAACTGACCACCTTGATTAGCATATAATGGCCCGACAGTGCCTAGAGCAAATTTTGTTGAGAGGTGATTAGATGTCCTTGTTTGTTTCCTCTCTGCTGTTTTGCTGTTGTAATTTTTGAGTTTTTTTAATACTGGGAGCCAGATTTTGTTCATTTTCATGGTTTCATCCTTTCTGTTGAAATTGTCTACATTGTGAACAAAATCTGGCTACCAGTATTTAAAAAACTCTAAAACTACAATTCTTCTTTCAATCTTCCCTCCTCCTTCCTCTCCTTCCTCTTCTTTTCTTCTCATCCCCCTTCTTTCCTTCTGGTCCCCTCCTCGATATCACTTTGAATCTTCCCTCCTTCCTCTTCTTTCTCATCCCCTTTCTTTCCTTCTTCTCTTTCTCCTCCACTCCTCCTTCCAATCTTCCCTCCTCCTTCCTCTTCTCTCTCATCTTTTCTTCGCATCCCCCCTTTTTCCTTCTTCTCTTTCTCCTTCCCTCCTCCTCCTCCTTTGTTCTCCTCCTCTTTTCTTCTCATCCCCTTCTTTCCTTCTTCTTTTTCTCCTCCCCTTATCCTTTGAATCTTCCCTCCTCCTTCCTCTTCATTCTCATCCCCTTCTTCTCTTTCTCCTCCCCTCCTCCTTTCAACTTTCCCTCCTCCTTCCTCTTCTTTCTCCTCCTCTTTTCTTCTCATTCCCCTTTCTTCCTTCTTCTCTTTCCTTCTCCTCCCTTCTTCTCACCCCCTTCCTCCCTTCTTCTCTTTCTCCTCCCCTCCTCCTTTGAATCTTCCCTCCTTACTCTTCTATCTAATCCCCTTTCCTTCTTCTCTTTCTCCTCCCCTTCTCCTTTCAATCTTCCCTTCCTTCCTCTTCGTTCTCCTCCTTTTCTTCTCATCCCCATTCTTTCCTTCTTCTTTCTCCTCCCTTTATTCTTTCAATCTTCCCCCTTCCTTCCTCTTCCTTCTCATCCCATTTCTTTCCTTCTTCTCTTTCCCCTCCCCTTCTTCTTTTAATATTCCCTCCACCTCCATCTTCTTTCTCCTCCTCTTTTTCTTCTCATCCCTTCTTTCCTTCTTCTCTTTCTTCCCCCCATCCTTTCAAACTTCCCTCCTCCTTCCTCTTCCTTCTCCTCCTCTTTTCTTCTCATCCCCTTCTTTCCTTCTTCTCTTTCTCCTCCCCTTAACCTTTGAATCTTCCCTCCTCTTTCCTCTTCGTTCTTATCCCCTTCTTCTCTTTCTCCCCCTTCTTACAATCTTCCCTCCTCCTTTCTCTTCTTTCGCCTCCTCTTTTCTTCTCATCCCCTTCTTTCCTTCTTCTCTTTCTCCCCCTCCTCCTTTTAATCTTCCCTCCTTCCTCTTCTTTCTCACCCCCTTCTTTCCTTCTTCTCTTTCTCCTCCCCTTCTTCTTTCAATCTTCCCTCCTCCCTCTTCTTTCTCCTCCTCTTTTCTTCTCATCCCCCTTCTTTCCTTCTCCTCCCCTCCTCCTTTGAATCTTCATCCCCTTCCTCTTCTTTCTCATCCCCTTTCTTTCCTTCTTCTCTTTCTCCTCCCCTCCTCCTTTCAATCTTCCCCTCCTTCCTCTTCGTTCCCCTCCTTTTCTTCTCATCCCCATTCTTTCCTTTTTCTCTTTCTCCTCCCCTTATCCTTTGAACTTTCCCCCCTCCTTCCTCTTCCTTCTCATCCCCTTTCTTTCCTTCTTCTCTTTCTCCTCCCCTTCTTCTTTTAATCTTCCCTCCTCCTCCATCTTCTCTCTCCTCCTCTTTTCTTCTCATCCCCTTCTCTCCTTCTCTTTCTCCTCCCCTTATCCTTTGAATCTTCCCTCCTCCTTCCTCTTCCTTCTCCTCCTCTTTTCTTCTCATCCCCTTCTTTCCTTCTTCTCTTTCTCCTCCCCTTAACCTTTGAATCTTCCCTCCTCTTTCCTCTTCGTTCTTATCCCCTTCTTCTCTTTCTCCTCCCCTTCTTCTTTCAATCTTCCCTCCTCCTTCCTCTTCTTTCTCCTCCTCTTTTCTTCTCATCCCCTTCTCTCCTTCTCTTTCTCCTCCCCTTATCCTTTGAATCTTCCCTCCTCCTTCCTCTTCGTTCTCCTCCTCTTTTCTTCTCATCCCCTTCTCTCCTTCTCTTTCTCCTCCCCTTCTTATTTCAATCTTCCCTCCTCCTTCCTCTTCTTTCTCCTCCTCTTTTCTTCTCATCCCCTTCTCTCCTTCTCTTTCTCCTCCCCTTATCCTTTGAATCTTCCCTCCTCCTTCCTCTTCGTTCTCCTCCTCTTTTCTTCTCATCCCCTTCTCTCCTTCTCTTTCTCCTCCCCTTATCCTTTGAATCTTCCCTCCTCCTTCCTCTTCTTTCTCCTCCTCTTTTCTTCTCATCCCCTTCTCTCCTTCTCTTTCTCCTCCCCTTATCCTTTGAATCTTCCCTCCTCCTTCCTCTTCGTTCTCCTCCTCTTTTCTTCTCATCCCCTTCTCTCCTTCTCTTTCTCCTCCCCTTCTTATTTCAATCTTCCCTCCTCCTTCCTCTTCTTTCTCCTCCTCTTTTCTTCTCATCCCCTTCTCTCCTTCTCTTTCTCCTCCCCTTATCCTTTGAATCTTCCCTCCTCCTTCCTCTTCGTTCTCCTCCTCTTTTCTTCTCATCCCATTCTCTCCTTCTCTTTCTCCTCCCCTTATCCTTTGAATCTTCCCTCCTCCTTCCTCTTCTTTCTCCTCCTCTTTTCTTCTCATCCCCTTCTCTCCTTCTCTTTCTCCTCCCCTTATCCTTTGAATCTTCCCTCCTCCTTCCTCTTCGTTCTCCTCCTCTTTTCTTCTCATCCCCTTCTCTCCTTCTCTTTCTCCTCCCCTTATCCTTTGAATCTTCCCTCCTCCTTCCTCTTCCTTCTCCTCCTCTTTTCTTCTCATCCCCTTCTTTCCTTCTTCTCTTTCTCCTCCCCTTAACCTTTGAATCTTCCCTCCTCTTTCCTCTTCGTTCTTATCCCCTTCTTCTCTTTCTCCTCCCCTTCTTATTTCAATCTTCCCTCCTCCTTCCTCTTCTTTCTCCTCCTCTTTTCTTCTCATCCCCTTCTCTCCTTCTCTTTCTCCTCCCCTTATCCTTTGAATCTTCCCTCCTCCTTCCTCTTCTTTCTCCTCCTCTTTTCTTCTCATCCCCTTCTCTCCTTCTCTTTCTCCTCCCCTTATCCTTTGAATCTTCCCTCCTCCTTCCTCTTCGTTTCTCCTCCTCTTTTCTTCTCATCCCCTTCTCTCCTTCTCTTTCTCCTCCCCTTATCCTTTGAATCTTCCCTCCTCCTTCCTCTTCGTTCTCCTCCTCTTTTCTTCTCATCCCCTTCTCTCCTTCTCTTTCTCCTCCCCTTATCCTTTGAATCTTCCCTCCTCCTTCCTCTTCTTTCTCCTCCTCTTTTCTTCTCATCCCCTTCTCTCCTTCTCTTTCTCCTCCCCTTATCCTTTGAATCTTCCCTCCTCCTTCCTCTTCGTTCTCCTCCTCTTTTCTTCTCATCCCCTTCTCTCCTTCTCTTTCTCCTCCCCTTATCCTTTGAATCTTCCCTCCTCCTTCCTCTTCTTTCTCCTCCTCTTTTCTTCTCATCCCCTTCTCTCCTTCTCTTTCTCCTCCCCTTATCCTTTGAATCTTCCCTCCTCCTTCCTCTTCTTTCTCCTCCTCTTTTCTTCTCATCCCCTTCTCTCCTTCTCTTTCTCCTCCCCTTATCCTTTGAATCTTCCCTCCTCCTTCCTCTTCGTTCTCCTCCTCTTTTCTTCTCATCCCCTTCTCTCCTTCTCTTTCTCCTCCCCTTCTTATTTCAATCTTCCCTCCTCCTTCCTCTTCTTTCTCCTCCTCTTTTCTTCTCATCCCCTTCTCTCCTTCTCTTTCTCCTCCCCTTATCCTTTGAATCTTCCCTCCTCCTTCCTCTTCGTTCTCCTCCTCTTTTCTTCTCATCCCATTCTCTCCTTCTCTTTCTCCTCCCCTTATCCTTTGAATCTTCCCTCCTCCTTCCTCTTCTTTCTCCTCCTCTTTTCTTCTCATCCCCTTCTCTCCTTCTCTTTCTCCTCCCCTTATCCTTTGAATCTTCCCTCCTCCTTCCTCTTCGTTCTCCTCCTCTTTTCTTCTCATCCCATTCTCTCCTTCTCTTTCTCCTCCCCTTATCCTTTGAATCTTCCCTCCTCCTTCCTCTTCGTTCTCCTCCTCTTTTCTTCTCATCCCCTTCTCTCCTTCTCTTTCTCCTCCCCTTATCCTTTGAATCTTCCCTCCTCCTTCCTCTTCTTTCTCCTCCTCTTTTCTTCTCATCCCCTTCTCTCCTTCTCTTTCTCCTCCCCTTATCCTTTGAATCTTCCCTCCTCCTTCCTCTTCGTTCTCCTCCTCTTTTCTTCTCATCCCCTTCTCTCCTTCTCTTTCTCCTCCCCTTCTTATTTCAATCTTCCCTCCTCCTTCCTCTTCTTTCTCCTCCTCTTTTCTTCTCATCCCCTTCTCTCCTTCTCTTTCTCCTCCCCTTATCCTTTGAATCTTCCCTCCTCCTTCCTCTTCGTTCTCCTCCTCTTTTCTTCTCATCCCATTCTCTCCTTCTCTTTCTCCTCCCCTTATCCTTTGAATCTTCCCTCCTCCTTCCTCTTCTTTCTCCTCCTCTTTTCTTCTCATCCCCTTCTCTCCTTCTCTTTCTCCTCCCCTTATCCTTTGAATCTTCCCTCCTCCTTCCTCTTCGTTCTCCTCCTCTTTTCTTCTCATCCCCTTCTCTCCTTCTCTTTCTCCTCCCCTTATCCTTTGAATCTTCCCTCCTCCTTCCTCTTCGTTCTCATCCCCTTCTTCTCTTTCTCCTCCCCTCCTCCTTTCAATCTTCCCTCCTCCTTCCTCTCCTTTCTCCTCCTCTTTTCTTCTCATCCCCCTTCCTTCCTTCTTCTCTTTCTCCGCATCCCCTCCTCCTTTCAATCTTCCCTCCTCTTCCTCTTCCTCCTCCTTCCTCTTCTTCTTCCTCCTCCTCTATCTCCTCCTGCATTCCCCTTTTTCCGAAGGAGAGAGAGAGAGAAAGAGAAAGAGGAGGAGGAGGAGGAGTTTCCCTGACGCCATTTTGCCCAAGCCGCCCGAGGGCTCCTTCCCAACTTCTGCACCGAAGGAGGAAGAAGAGAAGGAGAAAGAGGAAAAGGAGGAGGAGGAAGAGAGGTAAAGGGGAGGCAGTGATGGAGATGGCTTGGAAGCTTGCAAAACTGCAACCTCCAGGATTCCATTGCCTTGAGCAACATTAGTGGGTGAAGCTTCTCCTGGAAGGTACAAAGTAGGCATGGGCCAACTTGGGCCCTCCAGGTGTTTTGGACTCCAACTCCCACAATTCCTAACAGCCGGTAGGCTGTTAGGAATTGTGGGAGTTGAAGTCCAAAACATCTGGAGGGCCCAAGTTGGCCCATGCCTGCCTTTTACTCACATTGAGGAAGGAAGATGAGAGATAGTGTTTACGTCTAGGCTACATGTGGATACATTGTGGATACAAAATGCTGTTTCCCATCTTCTGTTGATTCCCCACTTTCCATTTATGTGTAGGCGTAAAGAAATCCTATAGATAAAAAAGGTAACACATGAGTCCATGTATCACAGCAGACCAGACTCTGATTTGTTGTGTTCTGGGATTGTTTTCAGTTTGGCATCTGCTCCACAAAACAAACCACACACAACAGACCTCACTACCTATGAGGATGCTTGCCATAGATGCAGGTGAAACGTCAGGAGAAAATGCCTCTAGAACATGGCCATATCGCCCGAAAAAACCCACAAGAACCTAAACCACACTTTGTTGGCTTACAAACTGATTGTGTTATGCTGTTAATCTCACCACAGTCAGGAATGTCTCTATTTTGTTTGAATTCCTTTGGGAGAATAGGGCAGGTTATACATAAAGCATTATTATTATTATTATTATTATTATTATTATTATTATTTTACTGACACAAAACCACAGTATGTCACAGCAAACGAGATCTATATGCTGGATTTCGTATCACAAAATCACAAGTCAAACACTTCCCAAGCATCTAGGACTGTGTGATTTATTATTATTATTATTATTATTATTATTATTATTATTAGAAACACAATAATAATAATAATAATAACAACAACAACAACAATAACACATCACACAGTCCTAGACACTTGGGAAATGTCTGACGTGTGATCCAATACAAAAGCCAGAAGAGTGATCTTGTCTGCTGTGGACTCATCTTGTTGTGTTTCAAATAATAATAATAACAACACTTTGCTGGCTGTTGTATTGGATCACACATCAGACACTTTCCAAGTGTCTAGGACTGTGTGATGTGTTGTTGTTGTTGTTATATTATTATTATTATTATTATTATTATCATTATTATTATTTAAAACACCACAAGATGAGTCCACAGTAGACACTCTGCTGGCTGTTGTTTTTATTGTTGTTGTTGTTGTTATTGTTATTAGAAACACAACAAGATGAGTCCACAGCAAACAAGATCACTCTGCTGGCTGTTGTATTGGATCACACGTCGGACACTTCCCAAGTCTCTAGGACTGTGTGATGTGTTGTTGTTGTTGTTGTTGTTGTTGTTGTTGTTGTTATTTGAAACACAACAAGATGAGTCCACAGCAAACAAGATCACGCTGCTGGCTGTTGTATTGGATCACATATCACCAACAACAACAACACATCACACAGTCCTAGACACTTGAGAAGTGTCCGACCTGTGATCCAATACAACAGCCAGCAGAGTGATCTTGTTTGCTGTGGACTCATCTTGTAGTGTTTCTAATAATAATAATAATAACAACAACAACAACAAGAACAGCAACTTCCTAAGTGCCTAGTACTGTGTGATGTATCAGCAAATAATGCGTGCAGATCCCAGGAAGGTGGCCTTTTGCAGCTAACAGGTGGTAATTTTGTCAGCGCCGATTGTGTTTAAGTCCAGGCCAAGGTCTTTAGACGCCGCACCCAGTATGCCAATCACCACTGGGACCACCTTGACTGGCTTGTGCCAGATTCTTTGCAGTTCGATCTTTAAATCCTCATATCGTGTCAGCTTTTCCAGTTGTTTCTCTTCAGTCCTGCTGTCGCCTGGGATTGCAACATCAACAATCCATACTTTGTTTTTTTACACAATCGTGAGGTCGGGAGTATTATGCTCCAGAGCGCTGTCTGTCTGAATTCGGAAGTCCCAGAGTAATTGGACGTGTTCATTTTCTGTAACTTTCCCAGGCTTGTGATCCCACCAGTTCTTTGTCGCAGGCAGATGGTATTTGTTGGAGGCTACCGACAATGCCATTGCTGTTGCCTGTTTTTGGTCAAAAAATATTTTTATCGATTTACACTAATGTATGCAATTTATATTACCTAATCTCATTTGGCCTTTTCCTTTTTCTCCTGCAGCATGGCAGTTAGAGAAATGGCCCCTTGGCTTGGTTCACGCCTGTCCTGAACCCTCAAGCATCTTTCCCTTCCAAGCCATGGGCCTGAAAGCCAAGTCCCATCCACCTGCGGAGGAGACACCTGTCAAGGTGGCCGTGCGCATCCGGCCTTTGCTCCCCAAGGAACGACTCCACGGGCACCAGGCCTGCTTAAGGGGGGACCCCGAGACCCATGAGGTGACTCTGGGACGCAAGCGCCACTTCCATTTCGACACCGTCTTCACCGAGTCCTCGGACCAGGAGTCTGTCTATGCGACTTGTGTGCAACCGCTGGTGGAGGCCTTCTTTGAAGGCTTCAACGTCACTGTCTTCGCCTATGGGCAGACGGGCTCCGGCAAGACCTACACTATCGGAGAAGCGAGTGTCTGTGAGTCCCTCCGACATCTTAGTATTATTTATTTATTATTTACAGTATTTATATTCTGGGCTTCTCACCCCGCAGGGGACTCAGGGCGGATTACAATGGACATATACATGGCAAACATTCAATGCCAAAGACACACAACATATATAGACAGACACTCAGAGGCTATTTAACATTCCAGCTTCTGGCCACCAGGGGAGCTGTCGCTTCACTGTTCGTTTGTGACACTGATAAAGTACTTCCTCATTCTTTGCATACTTCCTGGAGATCTTTATGGCCTCGTAAGTCAGTTAAATTAGCTTCCCCACAAAAGTGGTACCTAAATTTTCTACTTGACAGACGCAACTGTCTTTCGGTCTGCAAAGGTCGACAACAAGCTACACAACTTTGGTCGGAAGCTCACTCTGACCCGGGCTGGCTTCGAACTTTCCGTCAGTAGTGATCTTAATGCAACTGACTTTCAGCCAGCTGTGCCACAGTCCCGGTACTCTGAATTATCATTCCTTCCAACACCAATGTGAATGTAGTCCTCTTAATAGAAAATTAAGACTGGATCTACACTGCCATACAATGCGGTTTCAGAGTCATCGGCATCATAGACTGATATGATCCAGTTCAGTGCTGCTAATCTGCATTCTAAAGCTGTATTATATGGTAGTTAGACTAATATAATCCAGTTCAGTGCAGCTAATCTGCATTCTGAAACTGCATTATATGGTAGTGTAGACTCGTGTAATCCAGTTCAATGCCGTAATCCTGCTTCTTGGCAGGGGATTGGACTGGATGGCCCGTGAGGTCTCTTCCAACTCTTTGATTCTATGATTCTATTATTCTAATCTGCATTCTGGAAGTGCATTATAGCAGTGTAGACTCATGTAATCCAGTTCAGTGCTACTAATCTGCATTCTCAAACTGCATTTGAGTATCGCAGACTCATGTAATGCAATGCTGCTAATCTGCATTCTGAAACTGCATTATATGGTAGTGTAGACTCATGTAATCCAGTTCAGTGCTAGTAATCTCCATTCTCAAAGTGCATTTGAGTAGTGCAGACTCATGTAATCCAGTTCAATTCTGCTAATCTGCATTCTGAAACTGCATTATATGATAGTGTAGACTCCTATAATCCAGTTCAGTGCAGCTAATCTTCATTCTCAAACTTCACTTTAAGGTAGACTCATTATTTGACAGTGTAGACTCATGTAATCTAGTTCAATGCCACTAATCTGCATTCTGAAACCGGATTATGTGACAGTGTAGACTCATGTAAACCCAAGTTTCATGCTCTGAGAGCTATTAACAATAAAAGGACTTTCAGACTTCTGTAGATTTGCTTTTAATTCTGAAATGGGTTTGGAAGAAAAGGAAGTGATATGAAAAATATTTTAAATGTCTTGAGAAAATATTCCATTCATTAAGCTTCCCAAAAGCTTTGAGCTGTTTTGATTCTCCTTTGGGGAGAGAAAAAGCAGGGTATAAATCAGGCATGTACAAAGTTTAGCCCTTGAGGAGTTTTTTCGGCCTAAGTGGAGTATCTTGCATTTGTCCCTGTTGAACTTCATTTTGTTAGTTTTGACCCATCATCTCTCTAATCTGTCCAGATCGATTTGAATCCTGCTCCTGTTCTCTGGAGAGTTGGCTTTCCCTCCCAATTTGGTGTCGTCTGCAAACTTGATGTTCATGCCTTCTAGCTTTCCAAGCTGCTAGGATTCGTTGACTTTCTTTTTGCAAGGCTTCAATGCAGCCTTGGAGGGAATAATTGTTTCCGTTCCTTTCTTGAGATGATGATGATGATAATGTTATGTCTTATCTACCTCTCCTTACGGCTCGAGGAGATAGCTCGAAGCTTTGCAAGAGTCTGTTCAGAAAGGCTGGGATATGACTAATTTTTGATTTATTCCATAGATACCAGAGCGATGGCAAGATTCCTTAAAATACAATGGAACATGTTTTAACCTTTGGATTGCAAATGAGTGTGGAAACTTGAACAAAGTTGGCTTTTGAGCCAGTTCTGTTAAAGACAAACAATTTTGTAAGGGGCTTCGATAGCTGCAGGAAAAGCTGCTGACCGGAGGGTCAGCAGTTTGAAACCACGAGTCGGGGTGAGCTCCTGACTGTTTCAGTCCTAGCTTCTGCCAACCTAGCAGTTCGAAAGGATGCAATGTGAGTAGATCAATAGGTACCTCCTCGTTGGGCCACAACGAGTAAAAGGGCGCCCCGTGCAGACATGCCGTCAGAAAGATCGGAGATGTCTACGGACAGCAGGCACCTTGGCATGGAAAATGGAAGAAGAGCACCTCCCATGACGAGAATTTCAGCATCGCCTCCAGACACCAGAAATGGAAAAGGAGAAGGCCTTTACCTTATCTGTGTATTGTATGTCATTGTTTGTGTAAAAGGCATTGAATGTTGCCTTATATACAAGGGTTGAATAAAAAGTAATGTCTCCACCTTCGTAACTCCTCAACAAATGGCAGTACTGGTATGTGGCAGGTACTGTCTTGTTCAGTAGACTCTCCTCTACAGTTCCATTTTGGCGGGAAGCCATAGCACTGAACAGTTGTGTTGTTAAAATGCGCAGACAGTTGGTCAATGTGACAAAAAAAAGTGCAGTCATTGAATTCTTGGTTATTTGTCGTGTCAGAGCAACCAGTCCATTGTATTATATTATATTATATTATATTATATTATATTATATTATATATAATATTATTATATTATATTATATTATATTGAATTCTTGGTAGCAGAAGGTGTCACCTCGACATCTTTAAACTTACTCGCTCAATGACACACAGTACTCACATCAACACAATTACCATAAACAGCTTGCATTCCCTGATGAATCTCCTTTGGGGTGACACCTTCTGTTGTCAAGAATTCAATGACTGCACGTTGCTTAAGTTGCATTGACCGACTGTCTGCGCAGGGTTCCATACTTCACACTTGAACAACACAACCGTTCAATGTTAATGTTTTCAGCCAAGATGGAACTGTAGAGGAGAGTCTACTGAACAAGCCAGTACCTGCCGCATCTGTTGAGAAGTTACGAAGGTGGAGGCATTACTTTTCATTCAACCCTCGTATATGCAATGTAATCCGCTCTGAGTCCCTCCGTGGAGATAAAGCGGAATATAAATAATATAAATAAATATATAAATAATATAATTTAAATAATATAAATAATATTATTTAAATAACATAAATAATAATATAAATATAAATATATAAATATATTTCTATAAGTATAAATAAAGCGTATTATTATTATTAGTAGTAGTAGTAGTATTCCTGAATGTCGTAATGTGTGGTTTCCTTCCTTCCTTCTTTCCTTTCAGCTGCCATCAATGAGGATGAACAAGGCATCATCCCTCGAGCCATGGCTGAAACCTTCAAGCTCATCGACGAAAATGACTTGCTTGATTATACGGTCCGCGTCTCCTCTCTGGAAGTGTACAAGGAAGAGTTCCGGGACCTGCTGCAAGTGGAGACGGCCAGCAAAGACATACAGATTCGGGAAGACGACAAAGGCAACATTGGTAAAAGAGAAGTACCTTCCCTTTGTCTCATTCCCTGGGTAAAGGGTTCGTGTCCCTTTCCATCTCAGGGTGAGACCAACAATCAGGCAAACAGCAGGCTTTCATTGTATTATTTATTTACGTCATTTATATGCCGCCCTTCTCACCCTGAAGAGGACTCAGAGCAGCTTACAAGATATAGATATATACACACACACACGCGCACACACACACACACACACAATATATTATATCATTACCATAGTACAATATCAGTACTATATATTACTATATTGTACTATACCATTATATTGTAATATTATTAGTGTAGGTCAACCTTCCTAATGCCGCGACCCCTTAACACAGTTCCTCATATTGTGATGACCCTCCACCATAAAATTATTTCCGTTGCTACTTCATAACTGTAATTGTGCTACTGTTATGAATCGTAATGTAATTATCTGATATGCAGGGTGTATTTTCATTCACTGGACCAAATTTGGCACAAATACCCGGATACTGGTAGGGTCGGGGGTTGATTTCGTCATTTGGAATTGTAGTTGCTAGGATTTATAGTTCACCTATAATCAAAGAGCATGCTGATTTCCACCAATGATGGAATTGAACCCAACTTGGCACACAGAACTCCCACGACTATCAGCAAACACTAGGTTTGGTGGGCATTGACCTTGAGTTTGGGAGTTGTAGTTCACCTACATCCAGAGAGCACTGTGGACTCAAACAATGATGGATCTGGACCAAACATGGCATGGATACTCAATATGCCCAATTGTGAACACTTGTGGAGTTTGGGGAAAATAGACCTTGACATTTGGGAGTTGTAGATTTATAGTACACCTACAATCAAAGAGCATTCTGAACCTCACCAATGATAGAATTGGGCCAAACTTCCTACTCAGAACCCCTATGACCAACAGAAAATATTGTGTTTTCTGATGGTCTCTGGCGACCCCTCTGACAACTCCTCACGACCCTCAAAGGGGTCCCGACCCCCAGGTTGAGAAACACTGGTGTAGGTGATGTCTACACAGCAACAAGAAGCTTCAATAGGCTTCTCCATGTATGTAATGAACAAGGCTAACAAGACAGCAGAAGGCTACTCATTTCATTTGTACTTAGAGTCTCACTTGTTGCTCTGGTAACAAGTAAACAGTTTCAGATTTTAGTTTTAGAGTTTGGGAAGGATCAAACCAGAAGTATGGGTTCAGATGGATCAGGATACTTCTGGTTCCTTGTTAATTTCAGGTTAGTTTAGCAACTGCTTGCAAAAGGTGAGCCAGAATCAGCTTATTACCCAAAGATCACCCAATTACAAGCGGATCTCCCATAGTAAGTAGCTTTTAAGTATTACATTTCAGAGTAAGTGTACCTTTCATAAAATCGGATTTAATTTGACCTACCAGGGGCCGTGGTGGCACAGCGGGTTAAACTGCTAAGCTGCAGAATTTGTGGACTGGAAGGTTGGTGGTTCGAATCCACAAGATGGGGTGAGCTTTGGCTGTTAGCCCCAGCTTTTGCCAACCTAGCAATTGGAAACATGCAAATGTGAGTAGATCAATAAGTACTGCCCTGGTGAGAAGGTAACAACGCTTCATGCAGTCATGACCCAGAGTTGGACACGACTGGACTCAATGTCAGGAGAAAACCTTTACCTCTACTTTTATCAAGAGTAGGCAATACTGGGTCTAATCAATATACTTTTTCTCTCTGATCCACCATCTCACCCTGACCAAGGCTAACCCTTTTGGGTTTCAAACATTTCCTGTCTTTCCTTCACTTTCGGCCTCCAAAAGAGAAGAGGAAGGGGAGGAAAGGGCAGGGAAGGGGACTTGGGGAGAACCTCCTCCCTCCCAGCTCATCCACCCCATTCCGGCCTGCCATGTGGCCCCCAAGTTAGAAAGTTTGCCCATGCCTGGGAAAGTTTGCCCACATCTTCAAGTTGCTTGTCGACCTACAGTGGCCCATTAATTCCACAAGTTTTTTTAAAATCAAGGAATATTTATGGTATTTACTGGAGATTTCCCATCCAGGAGCTATCTGGGGATGACCCTGCTTAGCTTCCAAGATCAGGAAGGATCTGGTGCCTTTACAGGTTGAGCATGAGAATTGCTTCTGCAAAGATAGTGTTTGGTGCCACATTTCTTAAGCTGCAAGTTGCTCCCTCTCCTTCCTGTTAATTTATTTTGAGTGCAGCCTGTTCCTTAGCAATCTCTGTCTTTTGGATACAGTGCTGCATGGAGTGAAGGAGACCGAGGTGGAAGGCTTGGATGAAGTCCTGAGCCTGCTGGAAATGGGGAACATGGCCAAGCACACTGGGGCCACCCACATCAACCAGAAGTCGAGTCGCTCGCATTCCATCTTCACTGTGACAATGGAGCAGCGGCGCAACGCCGGGCGCCTCAGCCTTCAGGAGAAGGTCTTGGTTCCCGCCTCAGGCCAGGTTCTTGCTTCCAAATTCCACTTTGTGGACCTGGCAGGCTCCGAACGGGTGGTGAAGACAGGGAACACGGGGGAGAGACTCAAGGAGAGCATCCAGATCAATAGTGGCCTGTTGGCTTTGGGCAACGTAATCAGTGCGTTGGGCGACCCTCGCCGGAAAGGCAGCCACATCCCTTACAGAGATTCCAAGATCACTAGGTTAGTCCTTTTTGTTGTCCGTCACATCTGGTATTAAAACACAATTCCTGAGCAGTCTTTGTTCATATTTTCACTGTTCTTTGGCCAATTAGAGTTGTTAGTCCCACTAACACCAATTTCTTGATCCTTTTCTATGCTGCAGCTCTTCATCCTCTGAAGCTCTTCTTTTCCTTCTCCTTCTGTTCTTTATGTCCCGTATTTGCACCCAGTTCCCCTTTCTCTGTTGCCTCCCTTCCATTCTTCCCTTCTCCATGTGCTGGATGCTGCTCACATAACTGCGACAAGTTGAAAGTAAGTCTTGCCTCTTATATCGATGTATATGTTTGTAAGTTGCATATACATCGATTTTTTGAAATTGCGTCAGAAGTTATTTGAGAAACTGCAAGTTGCTTTTGGTGTGAGAGAATTGGCCGTCTGCAGAGATGTTGCCCAGGGGACGCCCGGATGTGTTACCATCCTGTGGGAGACTTCTCTCATGTCCCTGCATTAGAAGCTGGAGCTGACAGATGGGAGCTCACCCTGCTCCTCGGATTTGAACCACTGACCTTCAGGTCAGCGGTTTAGCCAGCACAAGGGTTTAACACATCGCACCACCACGGCTCCCCATATACAGAGATGTTGTGTGTTTGTGTATGAGAAGGAGGAGGGAAAGATTCTTGACTTATTCATGGGTATGGGTCATATCAAAAATCCATAAATTTGGGCACAAAGGCTGCCTTTGATTTATACATGAGGTCAACTTGTACAAAAGTATATACTTTATATTAAAATTACACCACAGGTTGCCAGTTAGCTTCCAAGCAAGGTGCAAAATATCACATCTAAAGCCCTGTGTGGTTTGGATCCAGGTTACCTACAGCATCTTCCCTCTCTATTCTCTGTTTACATGATTGTTTTTAATGTGTAATCTCTATTAAGTGGCATTATGCACTGACATTATGTATTTTTAACTGGCGTTATATGTCTATCTGTTGCTGCATTTTATTCTGTTCTTTCTGTGATAAAAGGCAGGCAAGAAATAATATAACAATAACAGCAACAAGACAAACTTACTGTCCCTTTGTTTGCTTCCAGATAGCTTTCACTGATTCTTATTTACACACCAACACGACAAATCTTGATTAGATAGTGAAGGCATGAGAGAAAGGAAAGGGCTTTTCAAAGTTGACCTTCATGCAACAGTGTAGGTGTTGGAAATAGCAACCTTCTCAAGCCTCCACTAGTTATCTATATATATAAAAATGCTCTGTGCATAATGAGTACCTTAAAAACAAAAGAACCAATGAACGAAATCACACCAAATTTGGCAACAAAATGTCTCACAACACAAGGAGTGACCATCACTCAAAAAATAATGATTTTGTCATTTGGGAGTTGTAGTTGCTGGGATTTATAGTTCACCTACAATCAAAGAGCATTCTGAACTCCATCAAGGATGGAATTGAACCAAACTTGGCACACAGAACTCCCATGACCAAGAGAAAATACTGGAAAGGTTTGGTGGGCATTGACCTTGAGTTTTGGAGTTGTAGTTCACCTACATCCAGAGAGCACTGTGGACTCAAACAATGATGGATCAGGACCAAACTTGGCACAAGGACTCAATACACCCAAATATGAACACAGATGGAGTTTGGGGGAAATAGACCTTGACATTTGGGAGTTGTAGTCACTGGGATTCACAGTTCACCTACAATCAAAGAGCATTCTGAACCCCACAAATGACAGAATCGGGGCAAACTTCCCACACAGAACCCCCATGACCAACAGAAAATACTTAAGGCCATCCAGTCCGACTCCCGTCATCAGGGCAAGAAAACATAATGAAAGTCCTCCTGACAAAGAGTCATCCAGCCATAGATATAGATGATAGATAGATGGATGGATGGATGGGTGCATGGATATGATTCACACACACAGAGATATAATATCATAGATTTGAAAGGGACCCTTAAAGAAGGACAACGATATCTTGCATGTTCCAGGGTGGGCAAACCAGACACTCTCCACATCAACACTGACAAAGAAACAGCAAGAAATACTGTTTACCCACAAGCATCAAGAAATTACATATATTACAAACCAACACTTTCTCATTATTTTATTTTCCAGATCAATAGACTGGGCCACAGCAATGCGTGGCATGGGACAGCTAGTTATGTATATAATTGCTTACTATATTGCAATTATATTACTGATTTACAATTTGTGTATTGGTTTGCAATTTTACCTATCCTCTTTGTTGTGGGAGGGGGTGCATGTGATTAGAACTGACCATGTTTAGGACTCTGGCTCCATTTTAGTTAGTGTTTGCTTTAGACTTCAGTGGAAGTAGAAGCCATTAGACTCTTAGATAGAATAGAAGCCATCAGTATGCTTTAAGAAGACTGCAGAAACAGTTCAGTTTTAGACTTACTGAAGACGTATGCTTAGAGACAGAACAGAGAGATGCCTTGATCTATAGACTTGTTTCTAGGGAAGATGCCCTGTGTTATCTACATAGAAAAACTACTACAAAACCCTATTGTAAGCAGATTCATAAACAAAGTGCCTGTATGCTGTATACATGAAGCTTTGTGAATAAACTAGCTCTGTTGCTTTTAAGGAAGACTGTTTATTTTGTCTCTTGAGAGCATGATTTAAAGACAAATATATTTTAAGGGAGAGTAGATGTTTTTGGGCAACTAAAGGAACACTTCTGAAACTTCCCTGAATATGTGTGCGTGTGTGTTTGTGCATTGGCATGTCTTTGTCCCTAGCAGTTGAAAGACATACCTAGATACATCAGTTTAACAGTTGAGAGATATAGTTGCCTTGCATGAATGCTGGTGAATGCCATTTTCCCCAAAAGGTAGTGACTTCTAACAAGGTAGAATCAAAGAGTTGGAAGAGACCTCATGGGCCATCCAGTCCAACCACCTGCCAAGAAGCAGGAAAATTGCATTCAAAGCACCCCCGACAGATGACCATCCAGCCTCTGTTTAAACGCTTCCAAAGAAGGAGCCTCTACCACACTCCAGGACAGAGAGTTCCACTTCTGAACGGCTCTCACAGTCAGGAAGTTCTTCCTCATGTTCAGATGGAATCTCCTCTCTTGTAGTTTGAAGCCATTGTTCCATTGCATCCTATTCTCCAGGGCAGAAGAAAACAAGCTTGCTCCCTCCTCCCTGTGACTTCCTCTCACATATTTATACGTGGCTATCATATCTCCTCTTAGGGCTAAACATGACCAGCTCCTTAAGCTGCTCCTCATAGGGCTTGTTCTCCAGACCCTTGATCATTTGAGTCGCCCTCCTCTGGACACATTCCAGCTTAGAGTCAATATCTCTCTTCAATTGTGGTGCCCAGAATTGGACACAATATTCCAGGTGTGATCTGACCAAGGCAGAATAGAGCATGGGGAGCATGACTTCCCTGAAAAGGTCATGCCTTTTCTGTGACCAGTGGTTTTCCCAAAAGGTTATGAATCCCATTTCCCAAATGGTTATGGAGATTCACATTTTCCAAAAATAGGTTTTCTGCTGTAGGAACTGACCTAACGTTTGTCTGGTCTGGATGAGCCATAGCACTTCTCTCCTATAGCCAAGAATGCATCTTAAGTATTCAGTGTATTCTTGTATTGTTTTGTTACTATTTCTCCCCCTTCATCCGCACTGGTGTACTGATTCCTTCATTTCTGTATATTGTAGGATCCTGAAAGATTCCCTTGGTGGGAATGCCAAGACTGTAATGATTGCCTGCATCAGCCCTTCTTCGTGTGACTTCGACGAGAGCTTGAACACACTGAATTATGCCAACCGTGCTCAGAACATCAAGAACAGGGCAGTGGTGAATTGTCGGAAGGAGACGGAGCAAGTGGAGGAGCTCCAGCTGCGGATAAAGAGCCTGCAGAAGGCCTTGGAGCAGCGGCACCGCTCCGAGACTCGGATCATCAACCGATCTGATGCCGCCGCCAAGCACAGCTCGCAAGACGGTGCTGCTCGCTTGCATGCTGAATGCAGCCGCTATCGGACTTGCACGGATGCCGCATACCAGCTCTTGATGGAACTACAAGGGGAAGGCAATTTGACTGTGGATCAGATCCTGCGGGTGAAGGAGTGGATGTGTGGCGTGGAGAGCGAGAGGAGCGAGCTAAGCTCAGCTTCTGGCTTAGATAGTGGGATTGAAAGCACTTCCACAGAAGATCAGAAGAACAAGATGCCAAGCTCCAAGTTGGCCAAGGCTCAGGTGCTAGGAAAGGATCACTTCCTTTGGGGAAATGGGGCTTATGCGAATGTCAAGGTAGGTCTCTTCCACCTGCAACCCTCCAAGTGTTTTGGACTTCGGCTCCCAGAATTCCTGACCATTGAACAAGTTGGTTAGGTATTGTCGAAGGCTTTCATGGCTGGAATCACTAGGTTCTTGTGGGTTTTTTCGGGCTATAGGGCCATGTTCTAGAGGCATTTTTCCTGATGTTTCGCCTGCATCTATGGCAAGCATCCTCAGAGGCAGCGAGGTCTGTTGGAATTAGGACAATGGGTTTATATATCTGTGGAATGGCTGGGGTGGGGCAAAGAGCTATTCTCTGCTAGAGTTAGGTGTGAATGTTTCAGCTGACCACCTTCATTAGCATTTGAATGACTGGGGTGGGGCAAGGAACATGAAAGGCACTGCAGACTCCTTCAACCTGAGAAGTCAGCCATAGCAGAGCACCTGATGAACCAGCCTGGACACAGCAGATTATTTGAGAACACAGAAATGCTGGACCACTCACAACCACCATGTCAGACTACACAGAGAAGCCACTGAAATCCACAAGCATGTGGACAATTTCAACAGAAAGGAAGAAACCATGAAAATGAACAAAATCTGGCTACCAGTATTAAAAAACTCTAAAATTACAACAGCAAAACAGCAGAAAGGAAACAACCAGGCACATCTTAACACCTCTCAACAGGGGATTTTCCCAGGCGCAGTCAGGCCATTGTATGCTAATCAAGGTGGTCAGTTGAAACATTCACACCTAGCTCCAGCAGACAAGAGTCCTTTGTCCCATCCTGGCCATTCCACAGATATATAAACCCATTGTCCTATTTCCAACAGACCTCACTACCTCTGAGGATGCTTGCCATAGATGCAGGCGAAACGTCAGGAGAAATGCCTCTAGAACATGGCCCTATAGCCCGAAAAAACCCACAAGAACCAAGTTGGTTAGGGCTTCTGGGAATTAGAGACACCTTGGATGGCTGCAGGTTGTAGAAGCCTGGCTTTGAGCAAGACCTAAATACCTTTGTCAGGAAACATCTGTTGTGGAGAGAAGATTTTTATTCAGGACTCGCTGCCCACTGCCATGCGTTGCTCTGGCTCAGTCTGTGTATATTTATTTTATTATTTACAACATTTTTACCCTGCCTTTCTCAACCCTGCAATGTCCAAAATGCCATTATGCCTGCTAGCCAAAGGCCTGGTTCCAAAACCACAATTTCAGTTTTTTTCTAAAGGAAAGGAGGGAGGGTGCCTATCTTATCTCGCTGGGGAGTGAGTTTCACAAGTGGGGGGTCATCACCGAGAAGGCTGTGTACCTTGTCCCCACCAGACGCGTTTGCGAGGCTGGTGGGACCGAGAGCAGAGCCTCCCTGGTGGATCTTAAACTTAGGTGGAACATAGAGGGAGATACGTTCAGACAAGTATGTGTTTTGTGTGTGTATATATGTGTATATGTGTGTGTATATATTTGTGTATATGTGTATATATGTGGTTTTGCACATGCGTTGTAATGTATTTATAATTTTTTGGCTTTTTAAGTCCCTTACGCTGTATTTTTCAGTGTTTTTATGAGTGACTAGCTGTACCTGCCACGCGTTGCTGTGGGCAACCTTCCTCTTTCTCTCCTTCTTTCGGTCCTTCCTTCGCTCCTTCTTTCCTTCCTTCCTTCCTTCCTTCCTTCCTTCCTTCCTTCCCTTTTCTTCTTTCCTACTTTCCTTCCTTCCTTCTCTGCCTCTTCCCTTCTTTCCCTTTTTCTTTTCCTTCCACTTTCTCTCCTTTCTTCCTTCTACCTCTTTCCTTCCTTCGTTCGCTCTTTTCCTTCTTTCTTTCATTCCCTCTTTCCTTCCTTCCTTCCTTCTTTCTTTCACTCCCTCTTTCCTTCTTTCTTTCTTTCTCCCCTTCCCTCCCTCCCTCTTTCTTCCCTTTTTTTCTGTATCGTGATTTAGCTTTTCGTCATTTAGATTTTTTGGGTTTTTAAGTCCTTTCTGCTGTTTTTTTAGGGGTTTTATGAGTGATGGTCACTCATTGGCCTGTTAGGAGTACAGTGTCCAAACTTCATGTCAGTTTGTCCAGTAGTTTTTGAGCTATGTTAATCCCACAAACGAACATTACATTTTTATTTATATAGATGGTCACTCGTTGGCCATCACTCATTGTGTCCAAATTTGGTGTCAATTCATCCAGTGGTTTTTGAGTTATGTTAATCCCACAAACGAGCATTACATTTTCATTTATATAGATTATTCACTGCTTATATGATCAGGGTTTCTTTATGTAGTTAGTTTGGCAAGAATGAGAACTAAACCCTTGAAAGTGTCAGTCTTTCCTAGTAGCATTTCCATTTGAAGCAGGTTGATCCTCTGTCCGAAAAATGTACAGCCCTTATTTGTTTTATTTTCCCCCCGGGATAATCCCACCATTATAAACAGAGAAACTACACAGAATGAATGGCCTCAACTATGCAATAATATTGAACGAACTCCTTTTGTGTCAGGAAATTGAGATAAATCATCTGCTCTTATCTCCATTCTTTTCGACCTCCTCTTGAAAAGCAGGAAGATAAGAAAGTTCAAACTGACTCGATAAATTCAGCTTTCAACCAAAGCAGCCCTTCTACTTTATTTATTTACATAGTACTGTTTCAAACACAGCCACACTCGGTCAAGTCATGGCGAAGAACAGAGCATATTGTATTCCAAAAATGGAACGCTAGCAATATTGCACACCTCTGTTGTGTTAATGCATGCACTACTGAAATAAGCAGTTTAAAGTACATGCTATTTTCACTTAAACGCCATCATTTATTTCTTTTATTTAGAACATTTATGTCCCATCCTATTCTCAACCTCCGAAGAGGGACTCAGGGTGGCTAAATGACTGCAAGCTAAATGGACTCTTTAATCATAGAATCAAAGAGTTGGAAGAGACCTCAGAGGCCATCCAGTCCAACCCCATTCTGCCAAGAAGCAGGAATATTGCATTCAAATCACCCCTGACAGATGGCCATCCAGCCCTGTTTAAAAGCTTCCAAAGAAGGAGCCTCCACCACACTCCGGGGCAGAGAGTTCCACTGCTGAACGGCTCTCACAGTCAGGAAGTTCTTCCTCATGTTCAGATGGAATCTCCTTCTTGTAGTTTGAAGCCATCCTAGTCTCCAGGGCAGCAGAAAACAAGCTTGCTCCCTCCTCCCTGTGACTTCCTCTCACACCTTTATACATGGCCCTTATCATGTCTCCTCTCAGCCTTCTCTTCTTCAGGCTAAACATGCCCAGCTCTTTAAGCCGCTCCTCATAGGGCTTGTTCTCCAGACCCTTGATCTGTCCCTCCTCCCTGTGGCTTCCTCTCACATATTTATACATGGCCCTCATCATATCTCCTCTCAGCCTTCTTTTCTTCAGGCTAAACATGCCCAGCTCCTTAAGCCGCTCCTCATAGGGCTTGTTCTCCAGACCCTTGATTTGCTCCCTCCTCCCTGTGGCTTCCTCTCACATATTTATCTATGGCCCTCATCATATCTCCTCCCAGCCTTCTCTTCTTCAGGCTAAACATGCCCAGCTCCTTAAGCCGCTCCTCATAGGGCTTGTTCTCCAGACCCTTGATCATTTTAGTCGCCCTCCTCTGGACACATTCAGGCTTGTCAATATCTCTCTTCAATCTAAGAGAGATCTAATCTAACAGGAGACAGAAAGGAATATTACATGCTTGGCCATAGAAACCTATTGGGTGATTTGAGGCAGGTCACGCTCCCAGCCAAATGTGACAGTCCAGGTAAAGAGATCCCCACGATAGGCTCACCTTAGGGTTGCAATAGGTCAGGAATTATTTGATGACCCATAACAGCAACAACATAGTCGGTCTCTGCTGAGCATGGAGTCGATCACGTAGCAGCTTTGCAAAATGTCATGCCCATGGCTACGGTCATAAGGACACTTGCTGCCCATTTGTTACTGTGTGGAGGGAGTCAGACATTGCTTTTGGAAAGACACACAAGAAGCTCATCCTCTCTCTTCTTTTTCGCAGGAGCAAGGAGATCACTTGAAAGGGAGTGCATCAATACGAGAAGAGCAGGTGCTGTGGTTGGAGAAGCAAGTGGAGCGTTTAGAGGAAGAGAATCGGGATTTCCTGGCTGCTCTCGAAGATGCCATGGAACAGTACAAACTGCAGGTATCAACTAGGCATCTTGGCATCTTGTGTCTGCTTGCCACACTGGCAAGTGATCTTCAGAGAAAGTTAGTTAGAACCTGTTGCCTCCCTTTGGTTCCTCTGTTGTATCAGGAGTGAAAATTTATTTATTTACTAGCTGTACCCACCACGAGTTGCTGTGACCAACCTTCCCCCTCTCTTTTTCTCATTCTTTCCTTCTTCCTTTCTCTCCTTTCCTTTCCTTCCTTTCCTTTCCTTTCCTTCCTCTTCCCTTTCCTTTCCTTTCCTTTCTTTCCCTTCCTCCCTCCCTCCCTCTTCCTTCCCTTCCTTTCCCTTCCTTTCCCTTCCTTTCCCTTCCTCCCTCTCTTCCTTCCCTTCCCTTCCCCTCCTTCCTTCTTCCTCCTTTCCTTTCCTTCCCTTCCTTTCCCCTCCTTCTCTTCCTTCCTTCCTTCCTTCCCTCCTTCCTCCTTCCCCTTCCCTCCTTCTCCCTCCTCCCTCCCCCTTTCCCTTTCTCCCTTCCCCTTCTTCCTTCCTTCCACTTCCCCTTCTCCCTCCCCCCCTTTCTCCCTTCTCCCTTCCTTCTCCTTCCTTCCTCCTTCCTTCCTTCCTTCCTTCCTTCTCTACTCTTTCCTTCCCCTCCCTTTTTCTTTATCTCCTTTCTTCTTCTCTACCTATTCTTGGACTGTAACTCCCAGCAGTCCTCCTGATTGATTGATCTATCTACCTACTATCTATCTCTATCTAATCTATCTCTTATCTATCTATCTATCTATCTATCTATCTATCTATCTATCTATCTATCTATCTATCTATCTATCTATCTATCTGGAGGATTGCTGGGAGTTGCAGTCCAGGAATAGGAAATTGGAAATATGCAGGGATTGGGATGCTCTCAAAGAAATCCAAGGAGAAGCATGCTTGTATCTTGGAAGCAGTGCATTTGGAGCATCCTCCTCCCCTAAAGGGCCTGGTCTAGGGGATGCCGGGAACTGTCGTTTTCGCACCTGCGCTGTATCGTCATTTCGCTTTTTGGGGGTTTTGAGTCCTTTCTGCTAATTTTTGGGAGGGGTTTATGAGTGATGGTCACTCGTTGGTCTTTTAGGGGTGTAGTGTCCAATTTCGTACCAATTTGTCCAGTGGTTTTTGAGTTATGTTAATCCCACAAATGAACATTACATTTTTATTTATATACATCACTAGCCGTCCCCTGCCACGCATTGCTGTGGCCCAGCCTGTGTATATGTGTTTTGTGTGTGTATATATCTATGTATATATTTATTTGCATGTATATATGTGGTTTTGTGCGTGCATTGCAATGTATTTTTGGTGTGTGTGGCTTTTTAAGTCCCTTCCGCTGTATTTTTCAGTTTTTTTATGAGTGATGGGTCACTTGCTGGCCTGAGAGGTGTATTGTGTCCAAATTTGGTGTCAATTTGTCCAGTGGTTTTTGAGTTCTGTTAATCCCACAAACGAACATTACATTTTTATTTATATAGATTTATTTACAGTATTTATATTCCACCCTTCTCACCCCAAAGGGGACTCAGGGAGGATTACAATGCACAAGTACACAGTGAACATTAAATGCTTTTTTGTCGACAGACAGACAGATATTTTGGTGGGTTGTTGTAGGTTTTTTCGGGCTATATTTTGGTATTTTTGGCATCTCCACTTCGGCACCTGATTATGCTCGATTCCGGCCACAGGGGGATGCTATCGCTTCATCCACTATGACACCAAATCATTTTTATTGTATTTCCTCCTTGCTCTTTGACCGCCGGCATTTTTATGGTGTCGTAAAATACCTCCCTGCTTTAAGCAGTTTCTCTACTCACAGCACAGCTGTTTTCGAACTACTTAGGTGGACAGTAAGCTAGGCTTAACAGTGAGGTGCTCAATCCGACTTGGGCTTTGGGTCAGCAGGGATCTATTGCATCTAGTGATTAACCAGCTGTGCTACAGCCCGGCCCTTCATTCTCCACCTTCATGGTTCATAATTTGTTATAGGCCACTTATTTATTTCTTGTGTCAGGCAACCGAACAGTTGTATTACATTTTTGACAGAACAAACAAACAAACATACAAAAGACACAGAGTTTGCAAGCTTGGTAGTTGATTAAATGTCCTTTGACCAGTATCTGGCCACTTGGAGTGCTTCTGGTGTTGCCGCAAGAAGGTCCTCCATGGTGCATGTGGCAGGGCTCAGGTTGCATTGCAGCAGGTGGCCAGTGGTTGGCTCCTCTCCGCACTCGCATGTCGTGGATTCCACTTTGTGGCCCCATTTCTTGAAGGTTGGCTCTGCATCTCGTGGTGCCAGAGCGCAGTCTCTTCAGCTCCTTCCAAGTCGCCCAGTCCTCTGTGTGCCCAGGAGGGAGTCTCTCATTGGGTATCAGCCATTGGTTGAGGTTCTGGGTTTGTGCCTGCCACTTTTGGACTCTCGCTTGCTGAAGTATTCCACCTGAGTGTCTCTGTAGATCTTAGAAAACTATTTCTAGATTTAAGTCGTTGACGTGCTGGCTGATACCCAAACAAGGGGTGAGCTGGAGATGTCTCTGCCTTGGTCCTTTCACTATTGGCTGCTACTTCCCGGTGGATGTCAGGTGGTGCAATACCGGCTAAGCAGTGTAATTTCTCCAGTGGTGTAGGGCACAGACACCCGTGATAATGCGGCATGTCTCATTAAGAGCCACATCCACTGTTTTAGCGTGGTGAGATGTGTTCCACACTGGGCATGCATACTCAGCAGCAGAGTAGCATAGCGCAAGGGCAGATGTCTTCACTGTATCTGGTTGTGATCCCCAGGTTGTGCCAGTCAGCTTTCATATGATATTGTTTCTAGCACCCACTTTTTGCTTGATGTTCAGGCAGTGCTTCTTGTAGGTCAGAGCATGGTCCAGAGTGACTCCCAGGTATTTGGGTGCGCTGCAATGCTCCAGTGGGATTCCTTCCCAGGTAATAATCCTCAGAGCTTGGGATGCTATAACTTGCTATAACTGGTGAAATGATGTACTTGCCCAGTTTAGTACTGGGATGGGCACCACCAGAATCTGAAATAAGTTTCTGAGAGAGTCAGGCTTCGACATTCACATCTGTCTTGACTTATTTTTGACTTTTCCTCCCCAGAGTGCTAAATTGCAGGAACAGCAAGGCATCATTTGTGAGCTGCACAGGTGCCTGCAGACGGAGATGCCACGGGAGGTGGATCTGCCCGGATTGTTGCAGAGTGTTTCCCTGGTGCAGCTTGGCCAAAGGCCACACACGGCCCCTGTGGATGCTGCTCGGTCCCACCCATGGCTCAGGCTTGCACACAACAACCACAGCAAGGTTTGTGCATTGTATTGTGTTTCCTTTTAAAGGTTGCCTTTTTCTGTGCCTGGGCATTCTTCTTCCTTCTACCCACAAACCGTTCAGTAGCTCAAGTAAATTGGAAATGGAAGTGTGTTATGTATCTCTTTAAATATTATGTTCTATGTGCCAAGGTATGACAATTTGGTAAATCTTAAATTCTCAAATCAGATGTATTTTGGAGTGGGAGAGGGCTCTTTAGCTGCATTGTGTACTATTTCAATTGTGGCAAGTCATAGCATCAGAATGCAGGATTCATACACATGGACATATGCTGCTAAATGTTTATGTATTTCATTTATTTATTTATTTATTTATTACATTTATATGCCGTTGGACTGGATGGCCCACGAGGTCTCTTCGAACTCTATGATTTTACTTATTTATTTACTTACAGTATTTATATTCTGGGCTTCTCACCCCGCAGGGGACTCAGGGCGGATTACAATGTACATATACATGGCAAACATTCAATGCCAATTTTTGACATACAACATATACAGACATAGACAGAGGCTATTTAATAGGGCTGGGCAACCACGGAAAAATTTGTTTCTAAACTCGATTCGTTTTTTGGGTTTTTTTGCGTTTCGATATTTAAATGAATTCCAAAATTTTTCTTTAAAAAAGTTCGATATTTACGAAATTTCGTAAAATTACAAAACAATACGAAACGAATACGAAACGAATACGAATCGATTCGTTAATGGCGGACGCGACCGCGAAATACGCTAAAAAACCTCCAAATGGGACAGGGGGAACTTCTGAAGCTTCCCTCTCCCTCTGTTGTTGACTGTTGGTGTGATATTTATAATTTTTTTTCACTGATTAAACAAACAACAGCTATAAAACTTGCCCCAGACATGCGGAAATAATAACGAAACGATTTCGAAACGGTTTCGAAACAAATACGAAGCAATTACGAAATGAATTGAAAAATTCGTTTCGTTTTTTAGATGCTCCTGGATGGTTCAAAATCGCTTCGTTATAAAAAAACCGAATTTTTAACGAATTACGAAATTATGAAACGAAACCGCCCAGCCCTACTATTTAACATTCCAGCTTTTTCATGAGGGTATTCTGGCCACCAGGGGAGCTGTTGCTTCACCGTCCATTTGTGACTTTGATGAAGTACTTCCTCATTCTTTGCATGCTTGCTGAAGATTTTTATGGCACCATAAATTAGCCTCCCTAAATTTCCCACTTGACAGATGCAACTGTCTTTCAGGCTGCAAAGGTTGACAGCAAGCTACACAAATTGGTTGGAAGCTCTCTCCGACCCGGGCTGGCTTCGAACTCATGACCTTTTGGTCAGTAGTGATCTTAATGCAGCTGACTCCCAGCCAGCTGCGCCACAGTCCCGGTGCTTCTATGGTTCTGCGAAAAGTTTGGTTCACATGCCACTTTTTACACCAGTATTCTTTTTCTGTTTTCAAATAGCTCAATGGCGCCACAGTTCACAAAGGGAAGGACTTGCCAGAGTACTATCAGAGTTGCACTCAAGGCTTAGAGTGCAGCTTGGAGGCTACCAACACATTGGAGAACCTGAAGGTAGACAAGTCTTCGGAGCGGCTGGTGGAACCATCTGCCATCGAAGAGGAGGAGGAAAAATGTCAGGAGATGCAGTCCCTTCACCAGAGCAGGTGAATTGAGAGGTTGAGATAAGAATGACAGATCCCCTGCAGAATGTTTCTGGGTTCCATCCCCTTCTTGTCTTTGGTTGAAGGTTCCTGGCTACACGGGGAAAAATTTCATCCTGAGACCCCACTTAGAAAATAGTGCGAAGGATCTAATTTAGTGTATGCTGGTGCCCCTGGTTTAAGCACCCAACACAGGCTGGATGGCCATCTGTCAAGTGCTTAAACTGCTGAACTTGCTGATCAAAAGGTCGCAAGTTCGAATCCAAGGAGCGGCGTGAGCTCCCAATGTCAGCCCCAGCTTCTACCAACCTAGCAGTTCGACAACATGTGAATGTGAGTAGATCAATAGGTACCGCTCCGGCAGAAAGGTCGTGATGCTCCATGCAGTCATGCCAGCCACATGACCTTGGAGGTGTCTATGGACAACACCGGCTCTTCGGCTTAGAAATGGAGATGAGCACCACACCCCCAGAGTTGGATACTACTGGACTTGATGTCAAGGGAAAACCTTTACCATTACCTGCCACTTCATATATGATTCATGCCATCATAACTGCAGAGGGATACTCCTTTTGCCACATCATTGACCTCGGATCACTTAAGAGACAAACATCTTGTCTTCATGGACAACAAGTTGAACATGAGCCAACAGCATGATGGAGCAGCTAAAAATGGGATTTTGGACTGCATCAAAAGGGGTATAGTGTCTAGATGTTCTCAACCTTCTTAATGCCATGACCCCTTAATACAGTTCCTCATGTTGTGGTGACCCCCAACCATAAAATTATTTTTGTGGCTACTTCATAATTGTAATTTTGCTACTGTTATGAATTGTCATGTAAATATTTGGTACGCAGGATGTATTTTCATTAACTGGACCAAATTTGGCACAAATACTCAATACACCCAAATTTGAATACTGGTGGGGTTGGGAGGGGGTTTGATTTTGTCATTTGGGAGTTGTAGTTGCTTGGATTTATAGTTCACCTACAATCAAAGAGCATTTGGAACTCCACCAGCGATGGAATTGAACCAAACTTGGCACACAGAACTCCCACAACCAACATAAAATACTGGAAGTGTTTGGTGGGCATTGACCTTGAGTTTTGGAGTTGTAGTTCACCTACATCCAGGGAGCACGGTGGACTCAAACTGTGATGGATCTGGACCAGTCTTGGCAATAATACTCAATATGCCCAAATGTGAAACTAGTGGAGTTTGGGTAAAATAGACTTTACATTTGGGAGTTGTAGTTGCTGGGATTCTGAACCCTACCAACGACAGAATTGGGCCAAACTTCCCAAACAGAACCCCCATGACCAACAGAAAATACTGTGCTTTCTGATGGTCTTTGGCGATCCCTTCTCACCTCTAACACAGAGAGCCCATCGCAGTCTACGAAAAAACTTCCACAACATTTGCTGTATATTGATTCTTCTTATGTCAAGTGATGATCTTAATAGAATGCACTGGGCTCATAATAATTGTGATTCCATCTTCACTGTCATGCTTTCTGCATAAGAGTCCTAAGAACATTTTATGTTTGCGCCAATTCCCACAAATCCTTAATGGGCTACATCGTCATCGGTGGCACAATGGGTTAAACCCTTTTGCCGGCAGGACTGAAGGTTCAAATCCAGGGAGAGCGTGGATGAGCTCCCTCTGTCAGCTCCAGCTCCCCATGTGGGAACATGAGAGAAGCTTCCCACAAGGGAGGCTTCTCTCATGTCCCTGCATGGGGAGCTGGAGCTGACAGAGGGAGCTCATCCACACTCTCCCTGGATTTGAACCTTCAGGATGGTAAAACCTTCAGGATGGTAAAACATCCAAACATTCTGGTGTCCCCTGGGCAACATCCTTGCAGACAGCTAATTTTCTCACACCAGAAGGGACTTGCAGTTTCTCAAGTCCCTCCTGACGCAAACAATATATATCTTGTTTTATGTTTTTAGGTAACCTATTGATCTCTGATTTTTAAAAGTAATTTCTTTGGTCCATTATAGAGGTGGTGTTTACACCTGGAGCAAGGAGGATGTTTCTAACAAGACGAACAGGAAATGGAGGAAAAGCAACCTAGCCCTGATCCAGCAGGAACCGCCAGAACTCTTGAGAGGTAGGGCAAGGCTTTTTGAGGACAACTATCTCTTCCACCTCTGACGCTACAGAGACTTCCTTCCACCTCTGACGCTACAGAGAAATTCTATCTGCATATGTACTGAAAAGGTGTCAAGTATGCATATAACCACATATACAAATACATACACACACAAAACACATATACACAGACTGGGCCACAGCAATGCATGGCAGGGATGGCTAG